ACCCACAACACCCTATAATGTCCTACTGGAGTCTCGGTTCGTCTAGGGCGCGTGGGGTGGGTATATTACTCACTCCCGCGGCGGCGGCGCTAGCAAGCGCATGGAATGAAGAGAGGTGGACATCAAGAGCGATCGGAGTAAAGATTGACGATTTCTTTCTTCTTAATGTCTATGCACCAACAATTCGTGCAGAGCGAGAGGAGTTTTTTACCGGCCTTCAGGACTGGAACATGCCGTCAGACGACACTGTGCTTGTGGGGGATTTCAATAGCGTGCAGAGCCCGCAGGTAGATCGGTTAGGCCCCAGGGGAGCCAGCCGTCCCGAAAGTCCCGCGCTGCGGGTTCTGTTGGCGGCGACATGTCTCAGTGATGCTCGGCACCTCCGGGATCATGCAGAGGATGACGAGTTCGATACCAATCATCACTACACATACTGGACGGAAGGGACTGCTAGCCGTATTGATAGATTCTACGTTCCTCAAGCCTGGTCATCCGAGGTCCTATGGGTCTCTACGTCCCCTCCGCCGCAGTATTCAGACCATGATCAGGTGGTTCTGCACCTACGCAGAAGGCGGTCCGAGCATACAGACACGCGCCGACTACGTGCTTCGTATCCTGTCCGGACCAACCAGCCCGATCGCGTTCTATCGGACTTAATCCGGGACCTGACGACAGCGGGGGTGGGCAAGGCTCCCACCATCCAGTCGTGGGATGCGCATGTCGCCTGTAGCACCGACTGTATCAAGGTTGTGCGAAAAAGGGAAAAGCAGCGCAGAAAACGCTTTATCGCTAAATCACGGAAGCGGAACCGGCAGCAATTTTTGACGCGTCGACAGTGGGTGTCCGCCAACATGGAAGAGATGCGGGAGGCCCATATGGTGTATATTGGCGAGTCATTAGCGCGGACGACAGCACGACTCAGGAGGACCTACAAGCGGGTCGCTAATTGGGAGCGGGACCAGCGCATAACTGCCCTTCACGCGCGCTACGGTGTAGAATTCTCGCCTGGGACATCGGTGGCGGATCAGTTCGCCTCGGAATGGGCTCATGTGTTGAGTCGGAGTCACCGAGTCACATCTGCTACTCTTTTACCTGAGGCGGTACGTCAATTTGCGACAATCCCGCCGGAGCAACGCATAACAGCTCTTGACAATGAGCGCATGCTGCAGCCGATAACAGAGGCTGAGGTACTTTTAGCTGTCACCTGCCTCAAGCGGCATAAATCCGCCGGACCGGACGGACTCAACAACGACTTCTACAAGGATTCGGCGGCTCTCATGGTACCGGCGCTGGTCACGATTGGGAATCTAATTCTGGCAGGAGCGGATCTACCTCCGTCGTTTCTCGAGGCGTTCATAATTCCCTTGCGGAAAAAGGGAGACTCTGACGACGCCATGGATTATCGTCCGATTTCTTTGCTGCAAACGAGCTACAAAGTCTTCGCGAAGGTATTAGCTACCCGACTTCAACAATCTCTACCCAGAGCTATCAGCGACTCGCAGCAGGGTTTTGTGCATGGGCGTCGAATGATGAACACAGTTATGATGATGATGGCTCAGTTACAGACTGCAGCTGATCACGAAGATCTGGCCGCTAGGAAGAGCAGATGTATCTTACTCCTTGACTTTCGCAAGGCTTACGATACCGTCGACCGAGAGTTTATGTACGAGACTCTGCATCATTTTGGCTTTGCCGAACAATTTGTGGATCTCATCAGACGCATCCACAACGGTACGACGGCGACTTTTGTCGTCAACGGGTGCGAGTCCTCAGCTTTACCGGTGCGCTCCGGTATTCGCCAGGGTTGCCCGCTAGCGCCCCTGCTTTTTTTGCTCGTTGTGGAGATATTAGGTATTGCCTTAAAGCAGGACCCGACACTTACAGGGCTTCGCACACCGGGGCTCCACGGTCAAAGGCATTTGTTTTCAGCGTTTGTGGACGATTCGACACTTTTTCTTGAGCAGGCCGACCAGCTTCCGCAGGCGATGCGTATTGTCAACGCCTTTGGGGCTTTATCGGGTTTGCATGTCCAACCGGACAAGAGCAAAATCCTGTTTTTGAACCGGTCGGTAAAGTTGAGGAGCTACGAGGGAATCGAAGTCATTCCGCCGGGCGGCACAACGCAATATCTGGGTTTTGAGATCGGAACTGGGGGCTTAGAGAATAAAAATTGGGCACTTAGGATTCAGAAGATTCAGCGTCGCCTCCTTACGGCAACACAAGTCGCTACAAGTGTGGAGAACCGGGTTCTTATCTTAAACTCCATAGTACTACCGTCGTTGCTCTTTACGGCGAGCGTCTTTGAAATACCTTCGTGGGCGATGATCGAAGTGAACAATTTATATAAGCAATTCTTATGGGCTCATGCAACGACGACGGACAAAAGTCGGCACAAAGTCAACCCGGGTCTACTCTTTACACCAAAACTGGCGGGAGGTATCGGGCTGGCCGATGTGTCCGTAGCCGTCAACACACAAAGAACGAAGCACGCACTTCTCTGGCTCACTCAACGCTCGGACAGGTACTTTTCGGCGTGGCGTCAGTGGGCTTACCGTGGACTGGAGCACGCAGCAGAACACCCGGTATCTCCAGTGCAGGTAGGCCGTCGGCAACCTCCTCGCATGTCCCGAAGTATAGGACGTGAGGTAAACCAGACGCTGGGCGAATGGCTCGCCCCAACACAGGACCAAGTTGCGCGAGTCTCATCTTGGGTTGTCGCACACTCAGCTTCGTTACTGGAAACGGCGACTAGCTGGTGGGAGGGAGATGAATTTGTCTTATCTTACTCCTACCCTTTTCCAACGCGACGGCTCGGGGTGGGTGACATGCCCGACGAGATCCAGCGTTTCTGGTCCACATTTAACTGGTCAGCAAACCCCTGGATCCGCGATTATCGTGGCGGCATCATGACTCGACGGGCGTACGACAGAATTGAAGACTCTTCGCTGGCACGACTGAGCATCTCACGTACGGGACCGGCAGAATTTGTCATCCTAATACCAAAACCTCCGCACCAACCCCACCACCATTCGATGAGAAAATTACGGCGGTGGGCTACAGCCCTTCTGCTGTCCACGCCAGCAATACCGATCGGCTCACGTCTGGACGCCCACCAGCCACTGTGCATGCGGCACGCTACACCGGGTTTTTCGCCATACACCTGGAATTACCAGGGCGCAGGAATAATCGAGGGCAGCACACTGGAATCTGGGCTTAATCCGACACGGCGAGTCCAATTGCATCAGCTGACCGATGGTATACACTGGAGGTGTACGGGACATTTCCCGGAGCAGGCAGACGGGTTTACGGCATCCGAACGGACATTACGTTCCGATTCACAATCAACGGTTTTCGTCTTCGAGGCGCACCCTCTGCTTCACCGATTTCCGTGGTCAGTCCCGGACACAACGCCAAACGAGTGCGTCATAGCGTGTCTTAAACGACAAGCGTTTGCGTTTCACAAAAAAATTCTAGCCCGGCGGTTAGGAGCTTTTTTGGATCGGCTAGAAACACGCGCAAGCACGGATGACTGGCAACGAGCAGTCCTCAGCCAAACACCTAAGCAAGCATGGGATCATAGCCATGGCCTGACTGATTTTCAAGTCTGGACCGGGTACAGGATCGTGACTGGACAACTTAATCTCCATCACGCTGGGCGGTCCGAGAACGACGAATGTAGGAAGCGACCGGGCTGTCGGGGAAAAAAGGAGACTCCGGCTCATTTATTCTGGGAGTGCGCGTATGCTGAAGCTCTCTGGGGTAAACTCGTTAGTCAATGGACAGGCGAGCGACCATCACGACAGCGCACTCAGCAATTTTTTCAAGCGTGTGCAAGTCGACGAGTGTCGCACGTACCACAGCACCGCACAGCAATACTGAAAGACCGCTTTCAGGAGGATCGGGAAATGGCCGACCACGTCTGGAAGAGAATGTGGCACATTCTTGCGACGATGTGTCTTACAAGGCTGTGGACCGACCGCAATGAAGCCGTCTACAGCACAGTCGTGTCCGACCTCCCCGGAACCACGCAGAGCTTTTGGACTGCATGCGTCTGCCAACTTCGCGCGATTGCGACCAGAGAGCACAGAAAAGAGGCTTCAGCCATCATGGGCGCCGTGCTAGTATCCAGCATCGAGTTGCTCGAACGAGCACCTGACGGGCCTCCAGGCATGTCAAGGGCTAGCCAAAGCCACCCTTCGGACAAACCGGGGCTGGCCGTTTGGCTCCGCATTTACCAGAGATCTTGTACATAGCTAAACCCATGTTAATAGACCATCTGATCACAAAAAAAAAAAAAAAAAAAAAAAGGTCAGTCCCATGACATGAAAATGTCGCTTCTTCCACGTTCGCGTGGCCACGATCTGGTCTAGACGCTCGAATTTCAGGAAAGATACAGACGGAATTGGCGGTACTGGTCGACGCTGTAAACAGACGGAAATGGCGGTACTGGTCGACATGTCGAGGCTGCAAGGTGCAGTAAACATCCACTGCGACGCTGTGCTAGTTGTGAGTGTACGATCGCCGGAGGTCCACCGTATCGTGAGCATCAGTACATGGCATCAGTACATGGGCCGTATCAGACTGCCGTTATCGACCCGTCATGTCCATGGCCTGAAGCTTAGATAACACACTCCCCCGACGACGGACTCGACAGATGGTGTCTTTTGTGCTCTCAGCAGGTCGCTGTCAACCTGTATCGCTCTGATCCAAAGCGAGGATTTGAAGCTCTTGCGCCGGACGATGCTTCTGAATGTAGCGCCTATCGTACAACCCGACAACATGTGACAGCCTGTCCAGCTCCGATGCACTGAAATGGCGAGGCAATGGCACGTCTATCCAGTTGCCTACCATCGCCGCCTTCGTCATGTTTTCCTCCTACTGCTTGCTGTACACCGAGACAAAAAGCCGCACTCACATCATTATCTCTCAATTGCTGCCCAAGTGCTGCCAAACATCGGACCTTCCCTGCCTTCTCCACCTGTGTACTCGCGGGGCTGGAGATGAGGTTCTTCGGACGAGCTGTTGCTGTGGTCATTGCGGTTGCAGGCACAAACGCTGCAGCTTCAGTGCCCGACCCTGCTGTTGGCGAAGGTTTTCGCTATCGCGAGCGAGACGGGGAGGGCGCTACCCAGAGACTGACGCATCTGAGAAGCCCTCAAGGTACTGAGAGAAGACCGCAACGAAGCCCGAAGATGCACGGCCAAGCAGCGAGGATGAACGGCCTGGACCCGACGAGCGGCGGCTATTTTGCCCCCTTTGGGTTTAATGAGCCACCAGAGGCTTTGTACAGACGGAACGGTAGTCTCGCAAGACTTGCTCCGATCATCAATGTCGCTGCAGAAGCTTTGAACCAGCCGATCCCGACGAACAAATGGTGGGGAAACTTGATCCACATCACGGCTCTCAACACGTCCGAGAACTTTCCATCATGGGCTCAGCCGTACGCATTCATGCTGCCCAGGGTACGGCCATATGGATTGATGTCGTACTACCCCTACACGTATCGTGAGATGGCACCAGAGATCAATGGCACAGTTCAATGGTACTCACACGGGACCCACAATGACCTGACGCTCTCAGCTCGCGAGTTCAACGAAACGCGACCAACGTACGAAGTGTACTCGTGGAGTGACATGGGTGTCAAGCTCCGACTTTGTGATCACGGGACGACCAACTGCATCGATTCAGCGCTGTTGAGCGGCATGGCCTTCGTGTCGGCCTCGTACAACTGTCTTACTCCGCGCATCGACACTGAGTACAATATCACACGCGTGGACAAACCGGCACCGGGCAAGCTCGTTATCCATCTCAGCAGCAACCAGACGTGGGTGCTGTATGCCAGTGACACGAGACTGTCGTTGCGCGTGGAGGACTCGGTGACATTCTCGGTGAACGCGTCGGGATCGTCTCTTGTTGCGGACAAAACGTACTCAGGCACGATACGAGTCGCCGTGCTTCCAAAAGGCGCACCAGACACGCTGTACGACGACTACGTATCGTGTATTGTACGGGGTGGCACTGTCTCGATGGAAACGCGCACTCAGTACTCGCTGCACTGGGATACTGTAGGCAGTACTTGCGACACTGGGGGGGTTGCTGCACTTTGCGTTACCGCACCAAGTAGAGTCAATGATTGACTCTCCGATAACGGCTGAGACACCAGGTGCCATCACGCTGAACTCAACTACGCGAGGTCTGATGGTGGGTCAGATGTCGTTGTGCTGGTCCTTCAACGTGCCAGAGGCAGATTTCGAGATCGACTTTTACCCAGCTGGGAAACTGTCCTCCTATCTTGTCCGGGAAACAAACATGCTTCGCACGCTGCGAGAGGACATTCTCGCCAACTGGACTTTGGCTACCAATTCTTGGTACTTTAACGGAAAGGCCTTGCAGAAGTACGCGTCGTTGTGTCTGATGGCAGCGGACACCACGGTAGTCGGCTCGGATACGACGCTGCTGGCGCTTTGTATACAGAAGCTGGAGAGGTTGTTCGAACCGTTGCTGAACAACACGTTGTCGCCTCCTCTCGTCTACGAAACGCTGTACGGTGGGGTTGTTTCTGGTTTGATCTTCGAAAACGACAATCTGTACATGGACTTTGGCAGTGGGATCTACAACGACCATCACTACCACTTTGGCTACTACGTGCTGTCAGCAGCCATCCTCAAGTACTTGGACCCGACGTGGTATTTGATGCCAGAGCTGGAACAATTCATCTGGATGCTGCTGCGAGACGTGTCCAACCCGAGCCTGGATGATCCCGTCTACACTCGATTCCGTCACTTTTCCTGGTACCACGGCCACTCGTACTCACGTGGCGTGACACTGCTGGACCACGGCAAGGACAAGGAGAGCACGTCTGAAGATCTGAACTTTTACTACGGCATGACATTGTGGGGCAGAGAGACTGGCCACAGGACCTTGGAAGATCTCGGCAGTCTGATGCTGCGTCTGAACGCCTATACGGTCCGCGAGTATTTCCTGCTTACGTCGGAGAACAAGATTCACCCGCCTGAGATCGTGCGAAACCGAGTCACTGGCATTTTCTACGACAACAAGATTTTATACAACACGTGGTTCCTGAACGAGAAGTACGCGATCCACGGCATCCAGATGATCCCAGTGTCGCCGGTGAATGCGTTGGCTCGCACGACGCCGTTTGTGATGGAGGAGTGGAATGATATCCTATCGAAGGAACAGATCGTCACTACGAAAAACAGCAACAACACGTGGCTGTCGTTGTTGTTGGTGAATGCAGCGGTCGTGAACAAGATGGATTCGCTGTACAAGCTGATGAACGCGACTATGGATGACGGTCTGACCCGGTCGTGGGCGCTCTACAACGCTGCTACTGCGTGCTGAGATAGCTTTCATCGCAACGGATCAGCCTGAGAGACGCGCAGGTGGCCCTTGGTTTGCAGCAGCATAGATAGGTGCACAGGCACGTGGGTAGCACAATGCTGTTCCCCCACTGCAGTGTGACAGTAGATAGAAGGAGAATGAAAGGCATGCTGGAAGTGCGAGTGAACGTGTACTGTGACCATCCATATCGTCTGGTCGCCCACTTCGTCATGCCGCTTCGCTTTTGTCGCAATACAGTATGCACCGCGCGTCGAGATGTACATGTTAACTGCTGATCTCACGGTCATTATCGACTGACTCGCATATCCTGCGATCCGAACTGGCTCGGAAGTCGTCCGACAGCTTTTCAGCTGCAAGAGGACTTTCGAGAGCCATGATGAACCCCACCCATCCAGGACGTTGTTGCACTGACCGTAATTCGTAAGCTCAAGCAGACTCCTCTCCGCACATATATCGACACGTCTCAATGCGTCTTGTCCTTCCACGTCTCCCGTCCAACAACCTCCTGCGAGCCACACACACACACACACGCATGTGTGAGAGATCACGTACGACAAAAGCAGCACTGCGTTTTCGGATCAGTCCCCACTGTCCAACTGCAGCAACCCAACTGCACCTTTTTGCACAACGTTTGGGGGCAAGAAGTGGTCCCCTCCAGCCGCTGGATGAAGCCACAACAGACAGGATCTCCGTCTCAACTCAAGCAGTAGGGCCGCAGGTCTCAGCTACACGGCCAACCACTTAATGGGTCAACGGACCAACCAACAAATCCCTCCGTCCCGTTCTCCCCGATACATTCACTGCCGCAGGTGTGGCCCGTCCATCCAACCGCTTCCTTCCACGACCACATCCGCTTTTCTTCCGACGCCTACGGATTCTCTCCCTCCTCCTCCTCTTCCTCTTCCTCCTCTTCCTCCTCCTCCTCTTCCTCTTCCGTCCTTTTGTACCGGTGCGTGTGGTGGTGCCCCACTCGATGCTTTGCACTGCTTAGCGGTCTGTCTCATCAGGAGGAAGCAGTCGAGGCGGACGCTACGCCGTGCACCGCACGTCCTGTCAGCACGTGTGGCTGGAATGATGCAGTCCCGAACGAGCGACGCCAGTCGTCGAGCCCCCGGGGCGTCCTGCACGACCGGGACGAGTCCTCCTGCAGCTTCCCAACTGGACAAGAGACCTGAAGGTCTTCAGACGTGGACGTTTGCCCAGTTACTCGCCACTTCGGTCGCCAATGTGTCGCTCGAAGACGATGAAAGAGGAACGGCCGCGTCGGTCGCTTCGGGTGCGAAGATACGCGAAGGCGCTGGGCGAGGCCACGAGGCCGTGGGAACCCGTGACTGGAACTGTTCCTACCGTTGTTTGCAGTCCGTGTCGCTCGCCGATACTACAGGGCCAACGTCGACGATGTCGGTGGGCGAAGGACATTCTGCGGCTGACTGGGACTGTGGGGCGTCCAACCGATCAGAGCCTGCAGCATCACGACTGACGATCTCCGCGTCGTCGTCGTCGAGCACGTTGCTACTGGACTCGGAGTTAGGTCACCTGAGGCACTCGATGGACGAGCTGTTGGACCACGAGGAGACAGCACTGGACGACGGGACAAAAGCGAACGGGACAGCTCAAAGGACAGACTGGCGAGAGCCCACACGGCACGTGTTTGACATTGTTCAAATCATCGGCTCGGGATCGTATGGCACAGTGCTCTTGTGTCGTCTCCGTGCGAGTCCTGACCGTCTGGTTGCGGTCAAAGTCGTCTACAAGTCGAAACTTGGCAGTGGCAACGGGCTCGATGGGGACGGCGACCCGACGCATGAGGCCAAGCGGTTGCTGACCGAGAAGAACGTGCTGTGCGCGATGGACCATCCGTTCATTATCAAGATGTGGTGCTCCTTCGAGACGCCGGACGCACTCAACTTTGTGCTCGAGTACTGTCCTGGCGGCGACATGTACTTCTTGCTGGAAAAGTGCCCCCACAACCGCCTTCCGGAAGACCACGTGCTGTTCTACGCGGCTTCGGTAGCCCTGGCCTTGCATTACCTGCACGGGCGCGGTGTTCTGTATCGGGACCTGAAGCCCGAGAACATCTTGCTCGACGAAGCCGGGTTTGTACGTCTCGCTGACTTTGGCTTTGCCCGCGAGCACGTGCACCGATCGGACCAGCACTGCACTAGTTTCTGCGGATCGGCCGACTATGTCGCGCCCGAGGTGATACGCGGTGACGGCTATGGCCTTGCGGCTGATCTGTGGAGCTTTGGGTGCGTGGTGTATGAAATGCTGACGGGCTACCCGCCATTCTACTCACCGCGCGATCGTGCGTCACTCTTTCGCAAGATCAATGACGACGAGCCCAGCTTCTTGGAGCACTTTTCACCAGAGCTCTGCGACTTTCTGTCTGGGCTGCTGCACAAGAACGTGAACCTGCGTCTCGGTAGTGGTCCCAACGGCATGCAAGACGTTTTCGACCACCCATTCTTTGCACATGTGAGCTGGGACCGTCTTGAAGCGAAACGTGTCAAGCCACCGATCGTGCCAAAGTTGACGAGCAAGCTGGACACGTCTAACTTCGAAGACCAGTTCACTTTGCAGCAGGTGCAAGGCCACCTCGAGTATATCGAGCGAGGGCCGCACGACACGCAGACCCAGTGCTTCTTCGGAGAATTTGACTGGTGTGCCGACGCGTCTCACTTCCAATGAACTACTAACAAGTCCGAGTCGCGACTGAAATAAATTAAACGTTCGCGATTCTGTTGGTGAAGCCCTGTGTGTGCGCGCTAAACATGCACAACGAAGTCGTCCACGGGAAGCTGCATTTGCGCTTCCACACTTTGCTGGACCCACTCCTTTGCAACGACTCGAGGCTCTGGTAAGCCTTGGTGACGCAAAGCCCGAATTGCTGGCAAAAGCTGCTCGATTTGAGCTTGATCAGTCGAGTCAACGACAACGTGCGTGACAGCAGAATCGATTTCGTGTGCAACGAGTCCTCCGTACAGCCTGAATTGGTGCTCGAGGAGCTTTGCTTCGCCAGCCGAGATGGCGTTCGCGCCAGGGAACGAACTGTCCGAGTTGTTGCGAGGCTGGAAGTATCCCACACAATGCGACAAGAAAGTGAATGCGCAACTCATGGAGTCCGCTTCTTCCATGTCCAACTCGCGCATTCGGAGCTGCCAAGGCAGCGTCTCGGGTTCTTCGCCAGCATCCCGTTCCATCTCGTGCATGATGCGTCTGAATTCGTCTGGATCAATGTGCTCAGTAAAATGATCTCCATAGCGGTCATACTGCCTGGCAAGAGCTTGTCGTTGCGCGTCAGTTGCAAACACAAAGTCGCTTGCCTTCGGCGACACCAAACGCATGGCGGCTGCACAGCTGTATACCCACCGAACGTGCACGATGTTGTACAATCCTTGCTTTTTCAGATTGGCCACCTTGAATCCAGCATCGCTCGCCGCAACAACGTAGTTGGTGCTGTCGATCGGGTTTTGCACCACGTGACCTCCGAAAGCGTGGAGCAGCTTTTCAATCGTCTGCTTCGACAAGTGCGTGGCGTGGTCGTCCAGTATACCTCCACGCACTGCTGAACGAACAGTTGGTGGAGGCGTCTCGAATTTGCCGGGTAGTACGCAGAACTCCATTCCTTCCAACACACTTCGCTCTTGTTCGATGCCGTTCAGATCCGCACGAGTGTACTCTTCCAGCACGCCACTAGCACGACGAGGTAGTGCTGTCTTTTGCTTCTTGACACGTTTTGCAACACTTTTTTGTCCCAGAGCGACTTCAGAGGCGCGTTTGGTGGAGAGGCTTCCGCGAACAGCATTGAGATCCTGGAGATCAATGCACTGGTACCATTCCTTGTCATTGCGGATTGCCTTGCACCGAGGAAACCGTACCGTGAGCCCTGTCTGGTATAGTGTTGTAAACGAGAGCTCAAACCCGTACACTTCGAGGATCTTCGAGTGTCGTGGATCGATCCACACGTCAGGTCGTAGGTCGCTCTTTTGCGGTTTCCAGCCGTTCAAATGCAGCGGAATGTGCTTGTCGTCCCATGGCTGCCAGTACGGCCCAAGCTCTTGTCGCATCTGCTCGAGCTCGTCCAGATTGTATCCAGTACCCACCTTAGCAAACGTGTACACTGCGGGACACGGAGCACCTGGCTTCATTGCTTCAGCTGCCTGGGTCTCGTCGAGCGCGTGAGCAAGTACGCCGAGAAGAAAGACCGACACATTGCCACTGCGACGCCGCCCAGTGCCATAGAATCCACCAACAATGACCGTATCGAGATCGGTCGTCATGCCTGCGTAGTCCGGTTTGAGCTTCAACCATTTCTTCGACTTCCGACTGCTTTCGCCACACATGTAATGAGCGTTCAGGTCTTTCATGATCACGCCCTCGCCTCCGTTTTGCACCTGCTGGTCTACCTCAGCCATGACGCGCTCATGCCGCTCTCTTGGTGACTTGTCATTGATCAGCTTCTGCTCGATGATCAGGATCCGGTGATCGAGCGGTTTGAGAATCCGGAGCAGCAACTTCCGTCGTGCAAGAAGCGGTAGACCCATCACGGCAGTAACTTCTCCGGGACCGCGAAACACCTCACGTATCAACTGCTCTGCTTTCGGCCCTCCGAGGTACACGACGTCCCACACGACGTAGCACAGCCATCGATTCGTTACTTCCCCCGTGCGCACGGCCTTTGCAGTATGCTTCAGCAGTCCGAACTCGCGCAGCCGATACTCTGTATTGTCCCACACCATCATCTCTCCGTCCAAGATGCAGTCCACTTCAGGCTCGAGTTGGGACAGCACATGCGGCTGAATGGATGGCGCGTAGCTCTCCGTGTAGTTGATCCCGTTCCTCGAGATAAACTGCACGTTCTGCCCCTGTACGTGACACGTGATCCGTTCGCCGTCCAACTTGGGCTCAACGACAAAGGCATCGGCATTGATCGCGCTGATACACTCCCCAAAGTGCACTCTCTTCGCGAGCATCGGCGTGAAGACCTGAAACGGTTCCAGCTGCGGCACGTACCTCACTGCAGAGTTGCGCAAGTCGGTGCAGACCTTGTGCAAGTCGTTTGTATGGTTGTACATCTCCATGGCGTCCGGGTGGATGAACTGGAGCACCCGCTCGTGCCTCAATCCGATCTTCAGGTCCTTCAGCACCACCCGAATGATCCACTTTTGCTCCTCTGCAGTGTACTCCGTAACTAGCTTCAGGACCACTTGTTTCCTCGCTGCACTGCTGTCAGCCCGAACAAGAGCATCGAGCAGCTCATTGACGTCTTGAATCGTGTGCGTCAGCTTGAGCCTGCTCGCGCCACTTCGATAGAGCACGACTTCGTAGAGCACAGCTGCAAAGTCGCCGACCGAGTTGCTGTCGACGATCCGGGGATCGTGAAAGTGCTCCAGCTTCTGTGCGTCTCGACTGATCGGCGCGAGACCGAGCACCTGAATGTACAGCTTCGCGATCTTCTTCTCTTTGAGCAAATACGTGCGTTCTCGATCCAGTTGCGGCAGAATCAAACGCATGAGCGGGTAGAGATCCCCTCGACCCACTCGAGTGCGGAGGTTCGCGCTGAAGAGCAGCTCGAGCTTCGTATCGCTTTTGCTCGTCGCTTCGATGGTCTTTAGCACCGAACAAAGCGCCGTGAACGACAGCCCAAGCGCTGCACTCTGGTCAGCTGTAGTTGCCATCTTGTTGTGGGGCTGCTGCGACGAGGGGGAATGAAGGACAAACAGGTGTGACAAAGGAGCCAACTAGCTATAGGAGAGAGAGAAGCATCTCGTCTACGTGAGCTCTAGGAACGAGGGGGGGGGCAGGCAGCCACCGGGAGTTCATCTCTCTCTCTCTCTGCAATGGTCAAGTTCGCCTGAGCTCTCAGGATCAACTGACTTGTCGTAAGATGGCGACGTTCGAGTTGCAACCTGTAGCCCGTCACGTGGACGTGGAAACGTACATCTTCAGGCCACTTGTTTGGTGACAAGCTGCTTAGTGAGCAACTGCCTCATGCATCGGCTATTCTCTTGCCACCTGTGCGAGTGCAAACTGCGCTTGGCACACCCGCGTGCTCACCTTCGTCGTTCCAAAGTGACCATCGAAACACTTGTGTCTTACTACGCCAAGCGTTACGACGTCAGTAGGTTGTTGGTATCGATCAATTGCCAGTAATGTCTGAGGGTGATAGCAGCCGATCAGTGCTGTGATCAGTCAAACTCTCGATGATGTTGCCCTCGAACGTCTTGCTGCATAGTAAACGCACACTGAGGTCGACTAGATGGAGGAGGAATGCTGCACCTACCGCCATGTCGACGTCCAAAGGCTATTATTACGAGTGGGGAAATCGTACTCTCAGGAGTTCGAACGGGACGCGACGCCGAGCGACACCTGTCTGCTCTACCGACGAGAAAGAGCGTTGACCAGTACCCGATCAATACAACTGGCTGCACGTGAAGCAATGCGTGAGCGGAAGACGTTCGAAGCTCTGCAACGAGATAAGCGGGTCACTGATCACAAGAGCCGAGGCCCAGCGACGAAAAAGCCAAAGCGTGCAGCAGCAACTCCTGTGTCTGTCGATTCCAAGGAGCAGTTGTTGCACGGCCAGCGCGTACTGCTGGTCCCGTTCGGACCCGACATGAGTCGCAAGCGTTTGGAGATTTTGCAAGGCATGGTACACAAACTAGGCGGGCACGTGGTGGATGCTCACGCAAAGATGGATCGGAGGAGGGCCAGTGCTGGACCACGCGATGCCGCCGCATTGGTAACGCGGAAGGACTGTGACCTGATCATTGCCAGCGCTGGGCTAAAGCACGACAAGGCCGTGGCATTCCTGCGTGCTCCAGAGTTCCCTCCACCCGCTATCGAGGTGTACACGCCGGAATGGCTCGTGTACCTCGTACAGAACAAAGAGCTTCCACCTGCTGGCTTGTTGCTGACATGGTCGGAGCAGCAGCACGTTCAAGACGAAGCGGCAAAGCACGAACGACATTGCGCCGAAGTAGCCCAGCAGTTGGCGGAGAAGAGAGGTGCTGGGACTCGAAACGACAGCGACAGCGACGAAGGATCGAATTCCGAACACTCGGACACTCAGGAGATCGTGCGTGCAGCGCCCGTAACAATGGACAAGGAGGTCCTTCGCGCGCGTCAAGCTGACCTGGACGAGAAGAACAGGAAGTTGGTGGAAGAGCGCGTACCCGTTTTCTACAAGAACAATCCAACCTTCCGCCCGATTACAGAGCGAGCGAGCGCGAGCTCCAGAAAGGTCATTGGCGAAGGCTTTATATGCCAACGATCGTCCGGTCGGTCTTTAGTCGCTGTGTGTCCTCTCGCCGAAGACGTGTTCTGACGCGTGTTCTCGTGCACTGTTGCAGCTGTGCATCAGAACCTCAACGCTCATTTGACTGAGCCACTGGAGGAAATGATGGAGTTCCTCGATGTCGAACGAGACGTGTGGCGACATTACATGTACAAGGTGAGGCCGCCCATTGTACGAACGCAAAGACCCCATGCGCTACTGACACTTTGCTGCGTGTTTTCCGATCGCAGAAAGTGGTGGCGAGCTTGAAGGCCACACGCTATCGCGTTTGCAGCGCAAAAGACTTCCGGGACATGCAGTGGGTAAAGGGGCGTCTACGGGATAAAGTGCTTGAAATCCTCGAGACAGGTCGCCTCGCCAAGCTCGATGCCAAGAAGAAGAACCTGCGGCTCTGTGCGTTGGTGCACATTGCTCGCATATGGGGCGTTGGCCCCGTCACTGCAGCTAAGGTCTACGGGATGGGGTACACCTCGATCGAGGACCTCAGGAAGCCCGAAGCCGCTGCTGTGTTGACAGTCCAGCAGAAGATTGGGGTCAAGCACTACGAGGATTTCTTGACCAAGATTCCACGGTACGTTGCGTGCCTTCAGCTATCGCGGAAGAGTCCTCAGCACTCGTTTTTGACGCTGGGTTTGCAATGTCTGCTAGCGCCGAAGTACAGCAGATCGAACAGATTGTTGCCGATGAAGTTCACAAGATGATCCCGAACGCTACTGCACTGGCATGTGGATCCTATCGTCGAGGAAAGTTGGCGTCCGGGGACTGCGATATGCTCATTACCGACCCCGATGCAGACTCGTGCGATATCTTGCCAGACCTGCTCGAGCGACTCCATGCATCGGGTTTCTTGACAGGTGCACCCACGACCAACTCGTCCTGCCGTGCAATATCTATCACTTGGCCATCCCCCTCACGCTGCTTGTTGTGCTCCTGTGTGCAGACGACCTCATGCACTCTCAGAAACAAAAGGCGGGGGGATGTGACACCTACATGGGCGTCTGTCGCGTCTCAAAGGTGCGTCTATCGTGCCGATAGCTAGTTCCCATCTGCGGTTGTACGTCATGTCGCTACTTTGAATTGCCGATATACCGACAGGAGCGCCCGTATCGGCGCCTGGACATCAAGATCTACCCGCGGCATTGCTTTGGCTTTGCTATGGTCTATTTCACGGGCAGCGACCACTTTAACCGGAGCATGCGGCTCTTTGCGCACAAGAACGGATGGAGTCTCTCGGACCGCGCGCTCGTGCAAGTGATGCGCGCGAACGGCACGACCGTACGGCTCGGCGAGACCGTCGTCTGCGATTCGGAAGTCGACGTGTTCATTGCGCTGGGACTCGAGTACAAGGACCCAATCGAACGCAACTGCTTTGACATTCAGTTTCTCGACGAAGATGCAGCGAGCGCAGAGCAAACGGCTCGAGCAGGTGACGCGGTGGTCCCCCCCCCTGGCGAGTAATTTTCAGCGCGATGAGCGAATATATTCGGGGGCCGAGGGGGTACGCTTGTGGACGTGTACCCCCCACGGTGTCGCCTCGCTCGTACACTATCCACCTTTGTGCGGGTTCGTATACATCGGGTACATACGGTGTGTATACAGCGCGTATTGAAGTGTCATGCGCCTCTCGCCCTACAAACACAATGCCGCTCTTCCTCGCGAATTTGGCCATGTCGAGCTACTTCCTCGCGCTGTGCTACGTGCTGCTCACGGCAATGACTGTGAACAAGTACCTCGAAGTGCGGCGCGTGCTCGAGCGCCACCAGCACACGACGTGGAGCACTGTGCAGCTGCTGGTCCTCAGTGTCGCGCTAGGCGCTTTCTTCCGGTCCGCTACGTTCTCCACGCTGTGCATTTTGGACTCGCAAGCGACAGCTGACTTGCCCACGGGCATCCCCCGTGCGAACCCATGGACTCGTGACGCGCTGCCGCCGTCCACTTATGGGCGAGGAGGCGCCACTGGCACGACAGGGGGAGACGGCGGTCACGCACAGGCAGAGCTCGACTTTTACAATAAGGTCGTGGCCGTGCTGTTCAATTTGCCCGACTTTCTCTTTGTGTCGTCGTACTTGTTACTGGTGCTTGTGTGGGCAGAGGCGTTCCAGTCGGTAAGGGCGTGACAACGCACGTGGCTGAGGGGAGAGAGGGCATTGTTGCTAACACGGGAGGATGGGGTGGATGGATCGTGGCACGTGTAGTCGCGACGCCATTGGTTCTCGGCTGCAGCGTTCCGACGCAAGTGGATGATCTTCTACCTCGTCTTCAACGGAGGACTATACTTGACGCAGCTGGTGCTGTACGCGAGTCTGTTTCTCTACGACAAGAACGGCATCTTTGATGACGACAAGGAAGATCGTCTCAGTGTTGTACGTTACGCTCTCTTTTTTTGCCCTCTCGGCGTGCAGACTCTTGTCTCTGACAAAGTGCAAATGAATGATGTAGATCCCAGAGACGATTTTCTACTTGGTCGCAGCGGCAGACTTGTTTCTTCCGATCATCATCTTCTCGACGTGGCTGTACTTGACGCTCTCTCTGTCGGGATTCCCCATGAAGTCGCAATCGGCAGAGCTCCGACTTCAGTGGGTGGGCCGACTCGTCATGGCCTGGAGTGTCGGACGTATCCTGTACAGTGTGATGACACTTCTCACATTTACCAAGGTAAGTACTGACTAATCACCTCAGCTGACCTATTGTGGCTATCCGAGGGCGTCACGTCCTTGTTTGCGTCTTTGTTGTTCTGACTAGGGATGGTTCAACGTACATCGCGAAGACGCTTCGGTGCGAGTACAACGACGCAGTTCAGATGGAGGTCTCGAACTCACTCGATTGGCTGTTTGTGTGTGGTGTTGATGCAGGCACAGGCAATGCTGCTCGTCGTGGTGTTTTTTGCGGCAGAGCTGATTCCCATTTACTTGACACTCGACAAACGTTTGCTGGCAATGCTATCGATGGAGAACTACGAACCGCTGTTAGCAGGCTCTCTAACTGATCGCTAGTTCATCTTCCGAGCAAGTGGGAGTAATGATAGTGCTCGCGCTATGAACCCTTGACAAATGACTATACCTACCAGCAATCTAAGTTTTGCGAGCTGGAAGACGATGCGTATACGTGGGTTACACACCTGCGTCTACAGCGTCACTGTACAGGACGACGCAGGGCTGAAGAGTCGCGACTTGTTTGACCTGGTCAAAGTTAGCTTTGACGTGGGCTCAGAGCAATGAGAGAAGATATTCAATATGGCGTCTTGCTTCTCCGTTCGGCCTCAATGTCCTGGAAACGCGAATGCGTGCGGGATGTGTCCGTCACGAACGACGATTGTCAGACGTTGCAGCATCAGCTCATCGAGACATGACTCTGTCGCTTGGTACAGTCTTTTGCTTTATGTACGCGCAGTTTCCATGTGCTGCCCACGTTGTCCGTAACCCGATCACTGCACAAAGCACACACTAGACACGAGACCGCGTTCTGCCACATCTGTGCCAATCATGAAATGGTTTGCAGGAAAGCTATGCATTCAATTGAAGCCAAGAAGTTCATACAGCTAAACAGAAAGTAAATTACAAGCATGAGAGATCACATGCGTACATGCGTCAGCCGGCGCGGTTGCAGCCTCAAAATGCGATCAAGCAAACACAAACGCTTGTCGCTTGACCGAGAAAGTGCAGAGCAGCTGCACACTTGCATCTCCATCGTAATCAGTTTTCCTCTCGACGTTTCGGGACAACTGCCTCTCGTCGGTATCGAAAAGACTATGCTGTCGTGAAATCGAACATGGGGCGAATAACCAACGACTCCCAGTCCACTAGCTGGAAGTAAGATTCAAGCATGGGCAAGCGGTTGCCTGCCACAGCCGACGTGCTGCCGTACTTGCCGCGAATCGAGATGTCGAATCCACCCTGTGCATCCATGCGTCGCACAAACTTCCACATAAAACACTCATCGGTCCACACCAAGTGTTGTGCATCGTTCGTGGGCGGTACCACCGACTTGCTGATGATGGCAAAGGCGTCCTTGTCGATCGATATGCGACACACGAGCGTCATTGCGTGGCGCGGGAAGCTCTCGCCAATAAACTGATGAATGTTGCGCGTCAAGTACATGTTGTCGTTCAGCTTTTTCAGAATCTAGAGTCCAATGCAGCAGCAATCGTCACAACCTACAACAGAGCATACCCACATTCTGTTCCCGACCATGCAGTACGTACGCAAAACTTGCTTCGTCGTCGGTGCAGCTGTTCTTGCTGAGCTTCGTCAAAAAACATCGCCCACGTCTCATTGAAGATGCGCGCCATGTCTTCCCCGACAAACGTCTTTGCCGAGAACGTGTGCATGTACATGGACTTGGACTCGCGTTTCGTCTGCCAGTCCATGTACGTGCTAGCTTTTCCACTCACCTGATACTCCATCATCTCCATAAACGCCTCCCGAGACGTCTTCTCCAGCTCTTCATCCGGCGGGTACTTGACGTTCTTCATAAACTGAATGCTATCAGTAGACGGCTACCACGACCACAAGCCGATGCACACACAAACAAATACAAACACACACACAGAGACACATGTCAGTGAACACCATTGGGCACCGAAATACCCTCTCGTCGTCTCTGCGACGCACGCACCGGCATAGCCTGCTGGATCTTCTCGGCAAAGCGCTGCCGCTTGCGGTTCTCGCTCAGCAAAAACTCCTTCTGACGGCGCAGGCACTTGGTCAGCTCCATCACTTCGACGTACTTTTCAATTTTGCTCGAGCGCTCGAGCGGCAGCTCCGACTTGTCCTGATTGGCCCGGGCCGCAATGCGACTGGCCAGGACGTTCTCGAGGTGCACGATCTCCGTCCGCATGTGTTCATTGTCCACCTACAGGTGCACGCGACGCCACATATCACACACATACGAGCGGTTAACAGACCACCAACGGTTTGACCACTTGACCTCTAGAAAGTGATAATAACCACAACAAGACGTACGCCGGCCGCGTTCTTCGCGTACGGCCGCGTCGCGAGGCTGTTGTTGCCGCTCGCCGAGCCGTCGTACTGGTCGTCGCTACCGTTGCCGGTGAGGAGCGTGAGCGCGTACTGGTCGCTGCTGTCAAAGTCCAGCGCCATCGTGAGGTCAGGAGCTCTGCCCACGCGCGCCGCTTGCACCACGTCCGACTGGGGGCGAACGCACTGCGAGAATTGATATCACAGCGACTCTGATCCCGAGGGAACGAACGCCCACGCGCTGTCGTGTGTACCAATAGGACGGTCCGTCCGACCGCACGTTGCGAATGGACCGCGCTGGAACCGCGCAATCGGTGGCACGAGACGTTCGGTTGCTATCCGGATAACACAGACGAAATAACATTTTGAAGGTGGGCGAGCGGCTAATCAATGTGATGGAGAAGACGGTGTGATAGAGGGGACGGAGCCTTCATGTGTCGCGCACCACTAGAGAGCGCATAAGAAAAGCGAACCCACACGTGAGTCGCATGGACCTCCAGGAGCGTCATAACGTGTACCGCGTGGGTACTGACGACCCGTCTTGCGCCATACTCGCTCGAAGTGGCGGGTCGTAGTCAGCTTTGTCGTATCATATGCATTGTCAGCGCTGCCGCCTCGATCTGCATACAGTAGTGAGACTGTTGGTATAGGAAATGGCGGGACAATCGCCACTGTTCTTCCGCAGCTGATCCAGCAGTTCTTGTTGATACGATGTCTGCAGACTGCATGCAACTTCCTGTAGACGATGGATGGGCACAATGGCTCGAGCGCTTTCGAGAAGCTCTGAACCGCTTACCGCACCGTCGGCTGTAGTATCAAATTCACGCAGACAACAATGTGGTCGGTCCAGTTCCTGCGATTCGCTTGTGCAGTGGACTACCAACGTCTTCGAAATCGAACGTCTCGTCTGTCGTCGGGTCGCACGGGCGTGCGCCTGCGAGACTACATGACCTGCGAGATCGCATCATCGCCCAAACTGTCGCGCGACGCGCTGCACCAGCACCAGCTGCTGCAGCGGCCGTGGTCCTATATTAGGACGCGTTGACGCTATTGTCAATCAACAACCGTCCACCAGACGATGTGGCCCGACTCTGCACGCAAACGCCTCCGCCGACGCACTTTCACGTCACTTTCCAAGTCGAGAGCTCCAAAGGCCTCTGGAGATACTGTGGTCGTCTTCCAGGAACTCGTTTCGACTCGCACGCGCGCGCGCCTCTGCTGACCGCACGTTGGATGGGCACTGGGGCGAAGAACCGGTCCCAGAAGCCCGTGGCTGCGGCAGCTGCAGCTTCGACGGTCGACGGTACGTCTCCGTCGAACACGCTGTCACTGCTGGCTTCAACATGGGCGCTGTTGTGGTCCACAATGGCTCGCAACTAACACAAGTGACTGCAGTGACAGGACCGCTGGGTGGCACTGACGGCTGTTGCACTGAGAGCAACACGCCGCGCATGGTGGACATGGAGTGGGATTCGTACGTGCACTGCAAGCCGCGCGGCGTTGGACTGCAGCCAATGGTGGTAGGTCAGCTGTGTCGGGCATACTGACTTGTGGAGTACATGGCGAGCGATGCACTGACTCGGACTCTGTCAATCACTGTCTCGTACTGGATTTGTTGGTCACGGACTGCTGTTGCTGGTGGGGTACAGCGAGTGCGGCGGAACGACCGGACGCCACTGAACACGCCGTACACGCCACAGCTCATGAAGCTCCACTTGAAGCGACACGAGGCGTACGATGAACGCGACGGGTGCAGTGACAGGCCGGGCAAGCAACTCGTGACGACGGTCAAGTCCAAGCTCAAGCTCGTGCTGCAGCCAGTGTATACGATCCAGTGCGTGCCAGTGCTGCGTGAATTGCAGTGTGTGTCTTGCGTGCTGAGCGAGCTCGTGGCGGTGTAACCACAATGGCTACATTTTGTGTGTGTGTGATGCTGAGCAGTGCGCTGGTGCACCGTGTCGTGAACATTGTCGTGCCGAGGTTCATCTTACAAACTGCACTGATTGCCAAGGTCTGTTTCTCGCTTGCACTGTCATCACGCGTGTTCTGCGTTGCTGACGATCGGGAAAATGCCTGTGTTGATGTCCAGATGCGGCCATGGATTGTCTGGTACTTCACGGCGGTCATTTGTGTACCGTTTGTCATGATGTTGTGCCCCCTGCTGATTGCGGTCAGCGTGTGTACGTCACCAATTTGGCTTGCTGGAATCGCAGTGCTGCTCGCTCGCTTGTTGATACGGAAACATCGCCCTGTCGAAGATCGATCGGGCCACGAGTCGGAGGAAGAGGAGCGCGAACAAGGCGGAGCGAGTCCGCATCACCCGAATTCCGTGTATCGGCGTGCGCATCTGACGAACAATTGTAACCAGCGAGGGTACGGTTAAGATGCTGGCCCCGGGCCTTTGTTCTTGGTCGACCGGCGCTAGTAATTAGTCATTTATTATTCATCCTCGTCGTTTTTACAGTAGGCTGTATAACACAAATGGGTCGCGAGAAGGTGTCAAGCATTCGGTGTTCTTCATCAAATCGATTTTGTGGCCACGAAGACGGCCCCGATCACGGTCATAGCGACCATAGCCAAGAACTTTCCGGAAAACCCGAATTTGTGAGCGTCTGCTGGAGTAGAGTCCCCGCTGCAGTGTGCAGGAGACTTCGACACACTAGCAGAGCTGTCGATGTTAGTTGTCTCTGTGGCGTCGGAGCTGGATATGGGAGTGGCCTCGATCGGATACGCTTCTTCGTCGAAATGAAGGTGCACGTCCAGGATTGAGCCGAGAAAGTCCGTTATAAGTACCTCGTCGATCGAGCGGCCCAAGATATCGGTTCGATAATCAGGCGTTGAGTATAGCATCTTCGGGTCGTAGAAGCTGAAGAGGTCTCGAAGTGTCCCGTTTTGAATTGAACTGCCGACCTTCATTCGCTGCAGATAGTCCAATGTCGAGAAGGTGAAGCGGTCGATGACTGAAAGGCCCAACTGCAGTCGAGCAAATAGCACACGTCAAGGCATCGGCAAAGAAGGCGTTCAAGGTGCAACGAACAAACCTCGGGATCTGAGTGGTGGGCGTACGAGTTCTCGCCCGTCTTCGAGCTCCCGACGGTCACAACCTTCGGGGACTCGAGGGCGTTCGACAACGATCCCGCTTGACATGTGTCGACCATGAAGAAGATCTCGTTGTAGCTGTGCATGATCAACACCTTGTGTCAGTGATATAGTTTTATACGCAGATGACAGTGTCGGCCATACCGTTTCTTAACGTGCATTTCTTGTATCGAATCAGCAAGGTCCTGACTTGACATCTCTTCGAAATCCTGGAGCAGCAGAAGCACAGAAGTTGGCGCTTGACGTTGTCGTCTCACCAATGAATGCATGACACACGCACCTGGAATTTGAGAAAGCCATCGCCACCGTGTCCAGACATGTATAGCTGCACAGTATCAGCGACATCACATCAGCGAAAGGGACGTGGACAAGCAGTGCCACTAGCCGCAGGCGTAAAGTCCGTACAAAGATGTTGCTGTTTTCGTCCGTGTCCAGCTTCTTCGAAGCTGGTGTCCCGGGCTCGTGGCGGCCTATGCCGTTTCACACATCCACGTAGTATATGAGAGCAAGTCGCCTAGCTTCTGTCACTGTCAAAAATGGAGCTCATACCCGTGAGGACGGTGATGAAGTTGGCGACAGAGACTTCCAGCCCACGATAGTCCACTTCGACATTCTCTCCGTATCTGCGTCAAGACATGGCAACACAACACAGCGCTTTCAGATCCTCCGTACTTTATAGCAGTGAGATGACTCAGACTAAAGCAGCAAACACGACGCAGAGCGAGACTCAACAAGTTGATCTTTTGCTTCTGACTGTTGAACACTTGGCCCGGAAAGCAGTTGCGGGCGTTGCACGGTATTTGGTCCGCCAGCATCAGGATGATCTGCGATGGACCACATGGGTATGTGTTAGTCTACAACTTGTACCAACAAACAGCTTGCGACGAGATCCAATAAGCATCAGACCTGACTGTCGGGAATGCCGAGGCGCTTCACCGAGTGATAGAGCGACAATGCATTGGCCACGTGGCGGTAGTTGTTCCAGAAGCGAGAAGTGTCCACCTGGCACACAAACAGACACACAGAGAGATGACAGAGAGATACATAGATATCGACTTGTTAGTACGAACTGATTCGTGGTCATCTACCTATCCACGCATCCGTCTGATCGCTGCCCGTACAATCACTGCCCAGTTGTTCGTGTGGCGGTGGTACTCGTCCCCACACACGCAGCTCCGCGTCAGCAGCTGCGCCACAAGGAGCAGCAGCGTCTGGCGCATGTTTTTCGAAAGTGCGGTCGAGTCGCCATTAGGTACGCACTTGGCGTCTTTCGTCTCTGATACTCGATACACGACCCGCGATCTCTTCTCTCCGTGTCGAGTCACAGCATACAAATACAGCCCTCTAGTATCGAATAGCTGCATCGACACTTGGATTCACTATCGCCGCGCGACCCCCTGCAAGACCCAATCCGAACTTAATCCGAACTTGACCCAACCCAATCGCCTCCGGCCATAAACTCAAGACGCCACATGTCGGACGCTCTCGTCGCGCTCGTGCGGGTAAAGAAGCGGGACGGACGCCTCGAGCTCTCCCACAAGGGACTGCGCTGGACGGCCGATGCCTCTCCTGACGCGCCGAGCGCTCACGCACCGATCGTTGTGCCGTGGGGCACAGTCCAAGGCCAGCAAGTGTCGTCGCTCTCGAGCCCCAAAGCCATGATCCGCCTCCGGCTCGCACACAACTCGATGCTCGTGTTGGAGTTCATTGCCGCGTCGGGCGATATCAAAGACGCGTTCCACGTGCGGGAACGGGCCAAGGACGTGATCGCGCACCGGCTGCGCTCGAACGGGGCGCGCTCGAATGCCGCGGCGCTGTGCAGCCCAACCGAGATCAAGCAACGGGCAGCGCTGCTTGCTGCGAACCCGACGCTAAAGAGACAGCACATGGAGATGGTGAATGATGGGCTGATCTCGGAGGAGGACTTTTGGGCGAGTCGGCGTCACTTGATTGCGGGCGAGGCCAGCAAACGGCAGAAAACGGGCAAGACATCGGCTATTTTGACCGACTTGGCGGCGGAAAACGACGCGAGCGGGAACGTTGTCAAGTACAACTTGAACGCCGAGGTCATTCACCAGATTTTCATTCAGTATCCGGCGGTGCACGTGGCGTACCAGGGACAAGTGCCGGACAAGATGACGGAAACGGAATTCTGGGGCGCGTTTTTCAAGTCCAAGTACTTTCATCGGGACCGGAAAGCTGGACATGAAGATATGTTTACCAAGTACGAAGAAATGGAGAAGGAAGAGTCGAAGAATGTGAGTGTCGACCCGCGTGGCATGGTGGACCCTCTCGTGGATCTCACGACGACAGAGGAAGATGCAGCGGTGCATCCTGCAAAACGACGGATGTCCGAGAAGGAAAACGAGTCTAGTATTACGATTGCCAAGTTCAATCGACATGGTGCCTACGTGCTGGATCCAGCGCACGCGGGGAAACTACAGCAGCAGCGGGCAGGAAGAAGCAATGCACAGCAGCCGTTGCCGCAGAAAACAACGAAGCCCAAAGCAGGTTACCACGACAGTGTAGAGGAAGCAACGCTGCTGGACGACCTACGCGACCAAGCTCCTCCACCGTACAACCCGCTTACGTTGGAAGATGAGTCGCGTTACTTTCAGCATGCAGAGAAGGGTGCGGGTGGCGATGCCAATGCAGCGCGCCAGCTGCCTCTATCCGATGCAGCACAGGTGTTTCGAGCGACGTGCAAGGCGCCCATCAAGCTCGAGAGCGCGTACTCGAGCTCGAAAACATGCTTTGACGTGCTGGCCGAGGTCGTCGCGTGCTCGGACTCGACAAGCGTGTCAGCGTCAGCCTCGTCGGCGGCGAATCTTGCCAGTGGTAAGTTGGCTGCTGAGTACATTCCAAGCGAGTTCAAGAAGCAAGTGTACAACCAGTTTCACGACGTGTGCGAGCTCCTGCGTCACTTTCTGTCGTTCAAGGCAAAAGTGGCCGCAGGCAGTGGCCCCGAAGCGCAACGCAAGCTGAACAAGATTGTCGAGAAGATGGGCTCGAAGTACGACGAGCTCGTGAAGCTGCGCGAGTCGTTGCCGCCGCACGAGAAGAACCTGTTGGCGCCACTGCTCAAGCCCTTTGACGACCAGCTCAATTTGGCATTTATTTAAAAGCTGCTCTACGTCGCACCAGCAGCGCCGACAAATACCACAACAACAAATACAACAACAACAAGTCCCATTCGGTCCCTCTACTGCAACAGTTGCAGTAGAAACCCAAAATTCCGACGTCAAGTGTGCGTTTGCTCACTTTTCAAGTACGATGGAGAAAGGTGTCGACGCTCGCTCTTCGCTCGAGTCCCCTACGTGTGCGCTCGTACCGTTCTCGTTTCGAAGTCCCTTCCACGATGCACTGCGCGACCGCACGCGCTGGTTTCCGATCGCTGGGAAGCGCATCCGCATCGATCAAGCGTGGCAGAGCGACGGACGAGGCGGTACGACATTGGGCTTTGGCGCGTCCGTGTACGATGCGGCCATTGCGTTGTCGCTCTACTTAGCTGCCCATCGGGAGCTGGTCCAGGGAAAGCAGATACTGGAGCTAGGCGGTGGTCCAGGTCTCGTTGGTGTTGTCGCTGCGCACTTTGAGCCCGAGCGTGTCGTGATCACCGACGGAGATCCCGCATCGGTTGCACTGACTCGACGGAACATCGAGCTGAACGGCCTCGCGGAGAGTGTTTGCAGGGCTGAAAAGTACCTCTGGGGCGACGTCGACCACGCCCTTGTTCCTGAGGTCGGCGGTCGTGGGCAGTACGACCTGATTCTAGGTGCTGACATTGTGGCATGTCCATACGCTTCGGCGTTCGAGGCACTGATGACATCGCTGCAGGCATTGGCTGGACCCGAGACACTGGTGTTGCTGGCCTATAAGAAGCGCATGCACTCGGAAGCGAAGTTCTTCGCGACGTTTGACAACGTGTTTGACACTGAGACGATTGACAGGTCCGAGATGCATCCAGACTTCCAGGAAGAAGACGACATTGTGATTTTTCGCGCGCGGCTTAAGACACAATAGACAAGCAGCAATGACTTGTCGTCCATCTACACGTGGCGTCGTTCTGCGTTGCGTTGCGGGCGGGCGTTACGTCTACTTTGTCAGGCATTCGATCAAAATGCGGCTGAAGTCATCTGGATTCTCCATGAACATTTGGTGCCCTCCGTTCGACACACGGTAAAGGTCAGCAGCACGCCCCTTTTCCTTGAAGCGCTCGACAATGTCCAATCCGTTACGATAGTCCATCCAGTCATACTCGCCGTAGATAAACGTGAGTGGCATCTTCACGCTTTCAGGAAGCAGCTTCGCCACGAGGGGACGAACAGCATGTGCGCCCGGGGCGAGATGCGTCGTCAACGCACGCTCTCCACATGGCTTTAGTGCCCAGTTGTGGTACATGTACTCCCCCAGCTCGTCGAGGTTGACACGTCCATCGCGCATGGCACTCTCCTCCAACATGAATGAGGTTCGACGGTGCACCACGTACTGGACAAGTTGCGGTCCGTACGGTCCTACAAACCGAGCTAGAGACATGGGCGTTATGCCGTTCTTCCACGCTGCGATAACAATGCGTTTCAGCCACGAGGTGTTTGTCGCTTTGCCGTTTGTCGTCGTTTCGTCGATAGGCGGCGGTGGAAGCGGAACACCTGCAGGAGACGCCAATACCAAATGCTGCATCACGTGCAAAACAGTAGCGTCAACGATGTCCCGTGCAAAAACAGCACGCACATGTGCACGTGCTTACGTTGACATGTTCAGGGTGCTTCAACGCGTATGACGACGCGAAGATAGCCTGAACGAGTTGGCACAAGTGACTGTCAATACCAACGAACGGACTGATCGAGAAGCTCGTGTCACGGTAACGATCTTACCCCCATCGAATGCGCGCACAGGTCAAAGTGGTCAAGTTTGATTTCCTGCTGCCACTTCTCGAACGAGTCCATGATAAATGCATCCGCGCTGTCGTACTATGCACCAAGACAACGATGAGTAAAGCCATCACATACACGCACACGCTGGCGGGTCGAAGGAAGCAAAGCAACGGATGCCAGCACTTACGTCTGTAAAGTTAAAGTCCGGTCGATCCGAGCGACCAGCACCAATCCACTCCACTGCATACTGCCACCACAAAACCACGACAGCAATGGAACCCGGCCATGAGCTCTCGTGCAAGTTCCGTCAAGCCGCCGAGACGGGTGCGAACTCACCACATTAAAGTGCTTGGACAGCTTGTCCAGATTCTACCACCACCACCAGCATCACGACAGCTCACAAAGTCAGCACGACCGTTCTCCAAGGTACTACTACCACCACCAACAACAACAGAGCTCCCCAGCAGCGACCACATCGTTACCAGTGCCCAGACGGCATTGCCGCCAGCAAAGCCGTGGATCAACACGAGGTTCCCGGCCTCTCGACGCTTCTTCTCATCCGAGCACGGCACGACCAGAGTGCCCAATTGCGCGACCTTTTTCATCTCATATGGTGCTGACACTGCGCGCGTGAGGATCTTGCGCTCGGCCTCTTCTAGTTTTGCATAGCTCGCAGGTACCCAGTGCCAGAATCTGCCCTCGGTCGCGAATCCGGCAGCAACGAGCGTCGCTTCAGTATCCACAAAAGCCACTCTTCAGTCTGTAACACGGAAACCCTTCAGAGCAAGTGAACGCAATAGACATTCGACAGTTACCTGTCATGGCGGCAATCGGCTGTAACATGTGCAACAAAGACGACAAAAAAAATTGTGAGAGGATCAGTTGACTGCTTTTGGTGTGAAGTGAGTGGTTTTCATGTTTCAGAGAACAAAAGCCGACAGTCGTTTTGGTACAAACGTTAACGATCGATGTCGCATGAACAGTCTTTCGTCGAGACGAATGCCCGACTTTGGTCGAGACGAATGCCCAATGAGCTGCGGTTTCTGGTAATACTGTCCAAGAGCTTTGGACATCTCGGCCTCTAGTGCATTGACACGTTTCGGGTACATACGGATCCGAGTCGGTCGTTTTCACATGCACATACATATATATGAGTCTTAGCTGCTTCCAATTGCTCGGGTGACAGTCTGCATGAAACGTTGTGGAATCCATGCAACGTCAGACTTTGTTACGCGCTGTAATGGACACTTCGAGTTGCATGACAGCTGCACTTGCAGTCTTCCGAAGGCTGGAAGAGGTGATCGTCGTCATCGTAGTCGTCGTCGTCGTTGTGTGTCTCGTTAGCATCAACGACGCACACCGGAAGTGTCGAGAACGCATCATGATGCATGGGAGTCATGAAAAAGCCACTGCAGCTCTCTTGCAGCCGTGTCATGGCCGACATCTGCATACTTTATCAGACGATGCAAGCCGTACGACGGATCAGCGTCCTGGAAGCTGCGGCGGAACTGCATCAAGTGCCATTGCTAGCACGGCAGGGATCCACCCAACGCCCGACAAAGCTTTCGTCGACTTCAAAGAATCGTGTTGTCTTGTAATATACGACAGCAACTCAGCGCGACTGATTCTTGAAGTGTTCGAAAGCTTGGTTGAGCACAGTAAAGAGCTCCTTGGCCTCCAGTTGCTCAGGAATCGTGGCACCACGCAGCTTGTCCGGGTGAATGACCCTAATGATGTTCCTGCAACAACAAAAAATTAGCTGTGAAACACTTTCACGCACAATACAAAGATGAGACGTGCACGCACCGATAGGCCTTGCGCACGGTGTCGTCGTCGGGAGACTGTACCACCATCAGTTGGCACTTCTGCAGCGCAGAGTTCAAAGACACTTGGTCTAACGTGAGAATCATGTGCAAGAGTTCCTTTCCAAACGCCCACATCTCTACACGCCGATGTATGTCGCCTCGGACAGCATCAGCTTCAGTCGCCTCCATCTTTTTCTTCATCTCCAATTCGTGACGCTCGCGCAACCGTGCTTGCTGACGAAGATACAACTCCGTGTCAGCAACGGTGGGCTCAGGTGGTAGCGGAGGCGAGTCTGTAGCTGGAGAGCAAAACACGGATGTGCGCTCTTCCTCTGCTTCGCTCTCTGAAGTCTTGCTCTCACTCTTGCGCTGAGGTTGACGGCCGTCCACGTCCACACTATCTTCGCCGTGGAACCGCAGTGGGGTGCCCAAATGAGGTGGCGGAGGCATCGAAGGCATCGAAGGCTCCTTCTGGTGCTGTTTGTTGTTCATCTGCTGCCGCATCTGCGACACCCGCACCGTTTTCATACTGACCGGCCGTCGTCTTCCATTGCGCCGCGTCTGCTGCTGTTTGCGCTTGCGCTCGCGTTCTTCTTGTGCCATCTTTTCCCATTCCTTCTCATACTCTTCTTTCTTTCTCGATTCTTCATGCTCTTTTTCGCGCGTGCGTTTGATTTTGTCGTTGCGCTTTCTCGCACGGGCCTCCATGTACTCATTCATGCGACTTTTACTTGTGCCGTGTGCATTGTCAAGTCCACTCATGCTGCGACTCTTGTCTCGAGATTTTGACACACTCGGCGAACGTGATGAGCGCCTGCTGTGGTGGTCTTGGACTTCAAGACTGTCTGTCCGAGCTTCTCGGCGAGCGTTCAGTTTGCCCTTCTCGACGACGTGATCATCATCGTCACCCAAGCTAGAAGACAACGATGATGACGATGCCGACAAGCTTCTGGCCTGCTTGAAGTCCACCTGAAAAGACTGACTCCGCTCGACATCACGTTCGTCGGACTCGTCGTCTGAAGGGGAAGAGGAAGATGAAGATGGCAACGGGATGCCACTAGGCACCTGCACCGCACCCGGATTTCTCATCGGCCCCTGCGTCTCCAGCGGACCCGGCGGTTGAGTGGCTCTTTGGGGTGAGCTATCGGCAGCTTTGCGACACTCCTGCTCTTCAAAGCTGTCATCGCTTGAGCTACTTGAACATGCGTCGGCACTTGTGTCCGATACGACCGGTTGCGGCGGAATATCTACATGGATCGGGGTGGTCAACGACGGCGGAGCTTTGTGCTCGGAGGTTGGTGGAGGCGGTGGTAGCGGCGGCATATCGTCGTCCGACGAGTCACTCAGAGATGACTCACTGCCAAATATGCTATCACTTGACTCATCTTCGTGGTGGGATGGAGCCTTGGCTACGTACATTCGAGGGCGCTCCTTCAACACCTTGTTCTGGCTACAACTTCGGCGTGGAAAAAGTGGCGACGCCATCTCGGCCTCACCTGTTATCGCTCCATCCGTGACATCGCACTCACCGTTAGAATTATTCGGACCGTTTTGTGGAGAAGATCCTCGCTTGAATCGAGATGAAAGCTTCCCAAAAAAAGTCACGGATGGAGCAATCGACTTGCTGTTGCCCGCAGTAGCTTTGTCTTCTGCCGGTCTATCTGGCGGGTCGGACAAAGTCATCATTTGCGCGGAAGCGGCCCGGCGTTTGCCTTCCCGTATTGCTGGTTTAGTAGTTTCGTCGATGAAGCTCGACGCAGAAAGGCCTCGCGAACGACTATGACTGGGGCTAGATACCGGACTGGTAGAAGCACCGACTACAATGGAGGTTGTCTTTGCTGTTACCACGGGGCTGGAAGGAGAAGATCCGATGCGTGCTGTGAAGTCAAAACTCGTCAGTTCTGCGTCAGCATCTACAGGCGCGACATTGTTTGTCGAACCAGCATCGTCACCCGGCTCGGCCGATATTGTATCAGGCACAAATCCCACTGACGTCGCCGTTACCAGCGTAGGCTTGGCGCCTTTTGTTTTCTGAAATGCTGCCAACTGCGTTCGAAGATATTTCTTCTCCTGCGTCTCTTTCTCTAGCTGAAACCCGAGCCCACGGCCAATTGCCTCCGTGTCCTCGCATCGCTTAAGCAGGCTTTGGTACTCTTCACTTTCCATCACCTGTACCGCGGTTGGCTTTTGGGCAGCTACAGCCGCCAGCTGTTGCTCTGTTTCATGCAGTTTCGTTGCAAGCATCGTATTCTCAGCTTTTTGCTCGCGATATCGTACTTCTGCTGTGCGCAGAAGCTTTTCGTGTTTCCTGTTTTGCATGTCCATCTCTTTTTGCAGCGCTTGCTCCCTCACCTCCGACTCTCTCTTGCCACTCTCCTTCACTGTAGCAGCGTCGACTCGCAGTTGGTCACACTGCGCAGTTGCTGCTGTTAGTTCTTTCTGCAGCCCAGCCACCTGCAGTTCATACTGCTCTGAGCGCCGTGCCATCTTTTCGCTTGCTTTCATCAATTGCTTGTTGCGTTTTTCGATGATGCGTTGACACTCCTTTGTGCGAATAGCAAACTCCTCCTTCGCCTTACTGGTCTCGCCAAGCTGAATCTCTAGGTCTTTCACTTGTTGCAGTGCCGCCTCCAGCTGCACTCGTAGTGCCTTCATCTCGGACTGTTTCTTGCTCTGACGAAGCTTTGCCCGTTCATGGAACGTCTCCAACGAGTCCGCAGTATCATCGTCGTGCTCAAAAAGTCCTCTCCGTTCCCCTGTATGTCCTCCATTTTCTCCGACACCGGCCAAAGAGCTCAGCATCGTGGACGAAGTCGAGAACATGGCGCGACGTCGAAAATCTGCCCCCGAGAGCGATTTGGAAAGCACAGTAGCCGACTGACTTCGAGCTGTAGCCGCTAGTAGCGGCGGGACTTCTCCGGCTCGCACATCGCTCGTATCTTCGCCATCAGAGGCGTTGGAGTCCCCTGAAGAAGACGAGGAAGAGGAGAAAAGACCGCCATTGCGGCCATGGCCAGGGCCGCCCGTCGCTGCTTGCGCGCTCGGGAACAGTGGAACGTCTAGCGGAGAAGGAGGAGAAGAAGAACAGCATATGGTCAGTGATGACGGACACACAGGAGACAAAGCGCAGCGTAAACACGAACCTTTCGCCCCGAAGCCGCGCCGCATATCGGATACGTAGCACACTGTGTGCTTGGAATAATTGTGTACGACCACATCGCGCGACACGACATTTGTGTGCCGCACATAAAGTGCAACTGCAGCAGCAACTGCTGGCGAACGTAAAGGCGAGAGAGCAAAAAGGTTATCAGATTTGCTGCCCACGCCCATCATCGCTTCAGCTGACGCTTTGTTGCACGACTCGTTTGTATCAAATTCGTTGAGTTTGTTTGTGTGGAGTTCAGTTGATCCTTCGAGTGTGTACATTCGACGATCGTCGAGATAGGGACGACGATCAAATGGACACAGTCGCATATTCGTCCGGGTTGGGTTGGGAACCAGGGGGAGTTGCTGACACAATTGCGACGCGTGGAGGTGGTTTTAGTAAACGGGGGCCGTACGTCTTGTCCAAGATTGATGCGTGACTATGGATGGCAAGCACCTGAGAAAACTAGGCGAGTGCTAGACGATGTGAAACCAGCAAGTCGAGATCGACAGATGTATAGCGTTTTGTTGTATCGCATTGCGCGAGTGAACGGAATCGCAAAAGTGGGCAACGAGAAGAGATGAACAATCGCATAGGAGCGTCTTCGCTAGAGAGTCAGTAGTTTCATGCAATGCCAAAGACAATTGCTGTGCTCGGCTATCATCTGGACGACGGAGGGAATCCGATGGCACAAGAGTGCATCAAGTTTCGGCTCGCAAACGGCATGGTCTGTTTGCCGGCAACACCTGATCAGGTATCATTTCCAAATGCTTTGTGTGCAAGTAGACGACATCGGTCGCATCGCAGGTGGACCAAAGCATGACCAGTCTCCCACTCACTCTCTCGCGTACTTTGCAGTCATCCACAACGTATGCTTTACGACCGATCCAGCAACAGCCTTACCACTCGATGGCCTCGTGACTCAACTTTGCGCTTGTGGTGGTCATGTTTGTGTGATCGATCGTGTCGTGCGATTCCAGGACGGAGGTTTTCGTCTTTTGGGAACAATATATAAAACGAACCTTACGTTCTTTCGTGGTAATATACGCCTTCACCTGCCACCCACATGTCAACATCTCGACAGCAAGAGAGAAAAACCCACACGGTGCGAGTAAAACCCAATGCGGGTGACAAGCGTGTCGACAGCGCGTACAAGTGATGGATGGCGGTCGAGGCACTCGCGACGTCTGCGGCCCTCCACTGTCTGCAGTCGCGCACCGCCTGCGCACGAGTATGAAAGACACTGCGCGTTTATTGGCCGACTTTGAGCACGACTTGGAAGCCCGTGGGGACGTGGACTGGCGCGTCTATGGGAAGTGCTGCCGACAACTGGTCGCGTTTGTGGCTACACACATGGACACATCGCGCGACTTTGTCGAGCAAATGGACCACGTGATTCGAGCGAGTTACGTGGACACTGGAGCGTGGACGGGGCTGAGGTCGGTGGGGACCGAAGCGTTGTGGCTCCGGTGTGCGGTCGAGTCGGACGGTCCCCTCGTTCCACTTGGGTCGAGCTCTCCGTTGCATCGGAGATCGACGACTGGGACCAGAGTGGCTGAGGATAGTGCAGTGGCTGTGACGCCACTGCCGGGGGCAATTGCCAGTGCTGCTGGGCCGAGACCGACGTGCTCTCCACATGCAGGTGTAGCAGGACCGACCGCTTCGTTGGTCGGAAGCGGCGGCAAACGGCATTCGAAGACGCGTCGGTTGATCCCACGCCGAGGATCGAAGCGGGTGCACTACATCGTTGCGCGGAGTCTGTACAGTGCAGGAAAGATGGACCGCGAGGAGAAGGACGGGCGTGGTGAGGACCGGGAGCTGGAAAGCGCAGAGGAAGCCGAGACTGAACCAGAAGAGGAGGTGGAGGTGCTTGGCGAGCTTTGTGAGAACCCACGGTCGGGGCAGCGAGCGGGAGATGATGGACTTGTGCAAGGTCGCGGAAGCGGTGATGATCGAATCGTGTGGCCTTGTGCTGGTGCGAATCCATCAGAGCGAAGTTCTGCGTTCGTAAAGCGCCTACGGACGGCCATGGAGCTGGTGGATGCGGGAAACTGCTGTCCGCCGCCGGGCATGAAGTGCACGCAGAGGTGCGCGAGTATTCGTGCTGGGATGTGCCGGGTTCATCGCATACGACGGGACGGCGCAGGCGTGTGCCACAATAAGGCGTGCTGCGTCTGGCGCGACATTGACTCGCACTTCGTGCGCTGCCGGAATACGGACTGCGAGTTTAAAAACCGCATTGGCCTGCGCCAAGCAATGCACGACATCCAACAGAATGAACTGAAACTCAAGCTGACAAGTGATAAACTGGTAGCCGCCAAGACAATGACGAGCGGCTCTGCCGATGCTCAGCATGATGACCAGTCGAGGACCTCTTCGCCTTCTCAGAGTGAGGAGACCAACATCAGGAAGCTCGAAGAAGAATGCGCCAAGCTAGAAGACACAATTTCACTGCACCGCGAACGAGAGCGCGCCTTTCAGTTCGACCTGAATGCGCTCGAGATCCCTCCAGCAAGCTGCGAGTCGGACCATATGCCAATCTTTCATCGCCATTACGCCATGAAGGGGCCAAGAGAATATATGCAGGATCTGGGATAAGATGCGTGCGCCTGAGTCGCGTTGACGTGCCGCGATGTCTACTGTTCGCGGCTCGAGTAATGACACGCTGACCACTTGCACGTAGCAGGACAAGTGCAGCTGAAACCAGATTTGTGGAGATGTCGCTGTCATATCACATCTGTCCGTCACGGGGTCTTCAGCTACAGTATTTACATGGCCACTGTCAACGGCTCACTTTCACCCCTTTCTGAGTTGCAGTACACATGGGTAAGCTTCTGGATTTGGTCTAGTGACAACTTACGGTTATATCGAGAATGGACGGTGAAGCCCTGCTCGCCGAACGAGGGAGACGGAGATGTGGTGGACGTCGGCAACGCGAATACCGCTACAGCCAACTGATGCAGATGCGGAAACTGCACCCGGCGTTCCATCCAGAAGTCGTAGGGTGATACGGCACGGGACTGCAGCAGCTGCCAGTATGCGTGGTTGCTCGCTTTCAGTTCGCACACCATCGCCTTGTAGTTCGCCAGCTGCGTCAAAATGTCCACAGTATGTCCCTCGTTTTCGCAGAACCGAACGATAAAGCTGTCCACGCTCTGCTTCTTCTGTTCATCGAAGGATTCACCCAAATAAAGCGGATCCAGCATGTACGCCACACCGTGCGAGTCGCCGTATATGGCGTTAAAGCGCTCGGTCACGCAAGAAATAATGAGAGCCTTCTCTTTCTTGCTCACCCACTCCATCGCCGAGTACCCTGCCAGGAGCTCGATATAGCACGGGAACACTTGTGAGATCGGCGGCAGATCATCCCTGAAATATCTCAGTTGCTGTTGTAGCGGACGAAGGACGGCGAGGGAGTTCAGCAGGTCCTGAACGAAGATCTCGCTCAACACAAAGTCCTGCACGCGCTTCAGTTTCTCTTGCTCGCCCGACGTACTGGCGTCGACAAAGTCCCGACGTGCGACAATGACGTACAGCACCTTTTCGTGCTTTAGCAACGCCTCGAGCAGCGCGCATATCGAGCTCGCGTCTGGAAACTCGGTGGTGTGGCTGTTTTCCGCGGACGACACGAGCATTTGCAGCTTGTGGTTTCCGTGAAACACCTGGGCCAGCTCGGCGACAGCTGTCTGAACCTTGTCCAGCCACGGCAGCACACTTTTGACGTCGCTGAGTAGCACCGTGAGCGCGCTGCTCACACAGCCGTGAAAGAACGTGCACCGCGGGTACTTCTTCTGGATCCGCTCGCGCATGTACGTGGCCAGCGTCATGGTCGCCGGCGTGACAATGCCGTAAAATTCGGCCTTCTTCTCCTTGGCCAGCACCGTCTCGACTTCGTCTGCCGTCAACTCACTGCGCCCCTCGTACCCGTCGGCCGTCTTGGACTCCAAGTAGTACGACGTCGCCTCGCACAGTGCTCCGTACGTCGTCACGGCCGATCCCCGTGCGTCGCGCCAGTGCTCGACCGTCAAACAGCACTTTTTGCCGCTCAGCGCCTTTGTCACGCGGGTCTTTGACGCCGTAAACTCCGCGTCGAGCAGCTCGTTCTCGAGCTCGTGCGTCGTCGGCAGCGTCACGTCACTCCGCAGCGCGCGCAGAGCAAACAGCAGCCGCTGGTTTGCCATGTCGTCAAAGGATTGGCCCGTGGCGTACAGCCACGAGGCAAACTTGCGCTTGAACGCGCCGCTCTTGCTGCTGCTGCTGCTGCTGCTGCTACTGGGCGCGGCCTTGAGCTGCTTGACGCCCAGCGTCGTGTCCGGTACGACGACCAGTGCTACTGCTGCTGCCGTCTCGTCGCTGTCTTCTCTCGACGCGTCCAATGGCCCGCGCGGGCCGAGACACTTGCGCTCAAAATGGCTGCGCACGCGCTCGACTTTGGCCACGCCGTAGCGGTGGATGAGGGCGTGGCAGCGGTTGCACACCACGCGCTTGTCGGCGAAGACGGTCGTCAAGTCCCACACGGGGTCGCGCTTCCGGCCAGAGGCGCGGGGCTTCTTGGCCGGCGGGGGCGCGTCGTCGGGGATGCCAAAGGTGCTACTGGTGGTGGGTGGGTGGGGCGGCGGAAAGCTGTCCATTGGGTTTTCTTGGCGCGCGGTAAAAAAGCTCGTGTGCTTTTTTCGGTCGGTCGGTCGGTCGGTTGGTCGGTCGGGCGGGCTGTGCGAGGGGCGGACGTTCGCTCACCCAGGCGAAAAGGCGGTGGCTGGTTTTTGCTTTTTTTGTGGGGTCGCAAAACGAGCAACCGACTGCCTTTGTCGTTTTTTCTTTTTTTTTTCGTGAGAGGATAAAAAGTGGTTGGAAGGCACTGACACCCGTGTGCATTTCGTGCAAGTAGTGATAGGGAGACAGAATTTGGCTGCACGAGGCGTCGGGAGGCCTGGAGACAGGAGCATTGAGACATACGTCGTCCTTTTCCAAGAGAGCGTAATCACTTTTTGCGACACCGCCGGTCTCAAGGCTCTGTAATGAAGAATGAGAGCTGGTTGCTTCCAAACGGGTCCAAACGGGTCGAAACGGTTCCATCCAAAGCCTACGGGATCGTGGATGTGCATCGCAGTTGTTGCAAATGCGTCAGCGAGTGCACAGCACGAACAAGCGGTGAATCGAAGAGTGGTTGACGAGGCTGCATGACGAAACTGGACAACCTCGGAGACATACCGGGAAACATCGAGACAGAGTCGCTGAAGCATGCAAAGAGGGCCACTGGTCATCACGTCTCGCGGCTGGTGGCTTCACCGACGGCGGACCAGGCCACAATGTGGCGAGCAAATGGCATTGTCTGCGTCTGCTATAAGTGGAACTTGGGCTTGCCCTGCTCATCACGCAGAGCGTGGAGTATGGTGATGTTTAATTTCGCGTCTCCCGTCTCGCAGAATGATAGTAAATGGTGGCTTCGACGCCCACGTCTCGAAAATTGCGGGCCAGTAGACGCTCAACCGTATACCAGTTGAAATTTGGAGTGCCGTAGCCAATACGGGGGAGATGGACTGTAGCCCCCAGCTCAAGGCAACGATGTGCCAGCGCCCGCAATGCCGTATCGAGCGCGTGCAGGCGGAAGTCCGAAGATCTGCCGCGGCGAGCATGCTGCACGCTACGAGGCCCTTTTCCCACACGTTGTTTCTTCTTGCCGACACAAGCTTGCACAACGAGTAAGCACACATGCCGGTCGATGCACGCTGGACTACCGGTCGCATCTTGTGATGGCAGAGGAATCAAGTGAGCACTGCCAAGCTTCAGATCGTTGTTGCGCCCCGCCGCTTCATACTGCTTCTGAATTGCCGGTGAAAGTAGTGACAGAGCGCGAAAGAAACCACGCGAACACCATACTCCGCTAGTATCCACGCAATGAACAATAACATACGACCTCCCACGAAGTGAGCTCCGAGACGGTTCGCTAGCGTCTCCGGACTTGTAATACAGCCGAGTGACGCTGGACCCATCATAGGCAAGCGGTGGATGTCGAACCGTGTCGATGCTGATAGCAGCTGACGCATACTTGTTGGCCTTCCACTGCGCAAGTTTTCTTTCCATCAATTGTTGACGCCGTTCTTGTTGCTTTCGAGCTCGCTCTGCTCCGTCGTCAACAAACTGTTCGTCATCGTCCCCATCTTCGTGCATCTCGCCTTGCTCATATCTCTTTTTCTGGGCCGTCTTCGTTTGCCGTTTCGTGCAACGCGCTGTTTCGGTGCACCATTTCTGCAGCAACTCTGCATCATACGTCTTGCAGCTCATGACCTTTGTGTAGTCCTCTCCCTCGAAGTAGTACATGTTTCCTTCCTGAAAGTCTCCACCCGACTCAAGCAACTTGTCACACTTTACTATGTTGTCATTGGCCACCGCAATGTCTTCGACCGGACATGCATTCTTCCTGGACAAAATATGCTGAATGTAGCCCTCGTCAAGACGGTTCATGGGTGCACTACCTTCCTCATTGCCAGTCACTTCCATAAGTCGGTGCAGTCCAAACTGAATCATATTCAGTAAACTCGTGTCACCCTCCTCGTCAGTGTCTTGCTCATCGCTTGTTCGGCGAGCAAGGTTACGGATGCGATCGACCATGCACATTTTCTTCAAAGCACGTCGGTATATGCTTTCTTCGACTGTGTTTGCACACAAAAACTTTATCACGTGAATGGGTTTCGTCTGGCCCAGCCGGTAGGCACGTGCGACTGCCTGAAGGTCAGTTTGTGGGTTGTAGTCCGAGTCCACGAAAATGACCGTATCCGCAGTTTGTAGATTCAACCCCAGGCCGCCAGCTCGTGTCGAGATGAGAAACACAAACGTTTCCGGGTCTTTCTGAAAGCGCTCAATGCAGTGCCAGCGCTCCTTGCCGCGCACAGACCCGTCGATTCGTTCGTACGCAAAGCTTTCGAGCGTAAGGTAGTCTTGAATGATGTCCAAAAACGGTGGAGACTGGCTAAAGAGTAGCACTCGATGGCCATCTTGCTTCAATCGCGGCAAGATTTGATGAAGCACGAAGAGCTTGCCGCTGTTTTCGTACAAATGACTCCCCTCCTGAAATGGCTCAGGTTCTGCTCCAGGGAACAGATACGGGTGATTGCATACTTTCCTCAACTGAGGCAAGATGTTCAGCAACGGGATCCTACACATGGATACAAAAAGCAGCGTCAGACGTGTGGTCAAAGTCTCCGCCATAGCAGTATGCTTCCACTCTTGACAAAACGCGCCTGTTTCCGAGAACCTTCGCTTCACCATTTAGAGCCCCGCTGTTCCTGACAATCACTTCCTTGTAGTACGCGCGCTGCATCGCCGACATTGGCGTGTGAACAACTATTTCAGACAGCGGCGGTAATACAAACGCACCCTGTACATCCTTGACCGTGCGCACTAGTAGCAACGGAGCCAACAGCCGCTGCATCAGCACTTCTGCCTTGCTAGCCCGACCGGCCTTAGCATATCGATCACCGTCTAGCCGCTGTGCATTTACGGAGAAGTGGTCGCGAAAGGTGCACGTAAACAACTCTCGGTCCTGGAAAATGCTTGGGTTCAGTATCGATAGCAGCGCAAAGAGTTCGTCAAGGTTGTTCTGAATCGGTGTCCCCGTCAGTATCACCGTGTGCTTCGATCGCAGCCTCGTCACGACAATGCGGTGCAGCTGTCCTTTTGCATTCTTCAGACGATGGCCTTCGTCCATGATCATCACACGCCACACAATCTTGCGCAAGAACTCGTGTTCATGCAGCAGCATCTCGTACGACGTCACAACCACCAGCGGGTCGTCCACTGGACTAGCAGCAACCACTTTCTGCGTCGCGTCCCGCTCTTTCTGTGAGCCACTGAACATGACGGTCGGAATACTCGGTGCGTACTGCTCGAACTGCTCCATCCAAGTGGGCAACACGCTCAGCGGTGCAATCACCAGGTACCGTCCACCTTTTCCTCCTCGTCTCTGGCCATCAACATCACTCCCCATAAGCGCTGCAACGAACGCAATCACTTGCAATGTCTTCCCTAGTCCCATTTCGTCGCCCAAGATGGAGCTCAGCCCCTGCTCGTGCTTCCGCAACAGCCACTGCAGTCCGTCAAGTTGATACTCGTGCAGCGTCACGTTCGTGATCCGAGACGGCAAGTGCGTCGTCATGCGATCGGCAAGCTGCGTCGGCTTCTGTCCCTGTCGCTCCAGTGTCTCCACGAGTTCCTCCATGTGGCAACCGCACTGCAATGCAGCGCCCACGTCGCCACTTGACCAGTGTGCCTCGTGCGCAGGGACCATCACTCGTGGCCTTTTGTAATCCCCGCTTTAGTGCCACTCGGTACCCAGTGCAATTTTAATGACAAGCCGCAAGCCGCGCGTGCTGCTGTGCGCCAGCGGCAGTGTGGCGGCCGTGAAGGTACCAGAGATTGCTGTACGTCTGGCAAAGACTGCTGAGGTACGTGGACGATCGAGAGCGGGCGAATGTGTGCTGTAGGGAAACGAGTGGTGCCTTCTGAGCGTGTTTGGACGGTACGATGTGCGACCGCAGGTGTGCGTGGTGCTTACCCAGTCGGCCGACTTCTTCCTGCAGCGCGCTAAGGACTACGATGCAACACATTGGACCGAGTTTGTTGCAGCAACCGAGCTGACCGCTAGCGATGCTGGTAGGATCCAAGTTGTTCGCGATGCGGACGAGTGGCGAGCGTGGCAGATCATCGGGGACAGCGTGCGGCACGTTGAGGTACGTGCGTTGACAGTGAGAGTCGGCAATGGAACGGCACTTTGTTGTCGACGTACACTTTTGTCTCACGTGTTTGTGGGTGCGTGTGCGTGCTGCAGTTGAAAGAATGGGCCGACGTGATGCTGCTGGCCCCAATGTCAGCGAATACACTCGGGAAACTCGCAAACGGCTTGGCGGACAATCTCTTGGTATGTTGGTGGCAGGTGGTGGAAGAAAACGGCACGTGTGCAATGAGAGTAACGACGATGTGTATGGCAATGGTGTATGGCTTTTTCAGACGTGCGTCGCGCGCGCTTGGAGTATGACCAAGCCCTTTGTGTTCGCACCTGCGATGAATACGGACATGTGGAACCATCCGATCACAGCAAAACAGCTTCGAGTGCTGGATGAGTTTGGCTACAAGATCGTGCCGCCTGTAGAGAAAAACTTGGCGTGTGGTGTAGTTGGTACGGAACGTTGTTGTTGTTGTTGCGAATATGGTGCAGCTTGTCTGTCCCGAGTAATGGACGCATTTCTCACCTAGTGTTGTCATGGACGCAGGAAATGGTGGTCTCGCACCGGTCGATAGCATCGTCGCCTTTGTGCTTGAACAGGTCCCTCGTGTGTCGCTTGCCACCTCATAAGATACACAATCTAAAGCGGTGACGCAGCATCGATGTCTTCCATTGCGAGGTGGAAGACCTCGCTGATAGCCTCAATCGCAGCATCTTGTACTTCTTTGATTGTCACGTCCGGACGAATGTCCCCGATACTTGTCACGGCGCGGTCATGGATACCGCATGGAACGATCCGGTCGAATTCGCGCAAGTCCGTCTTGACATTCAACGCAAAGCCGTGCATCGTTATCCATCGACTGGCGTGCGTCCCGACGGCACAAACTTTGTGCATTGCACGCTCACGGTGTCCATCAGGCTGTCGCTCGTCGCCAGAGTCCGGCCTTTTCTCCACCCAGACACCCGTAAGTCCATGTACACGCTCTCCGTGAATGCCAAACTTGGCCAGCGTGTGGATCACCACCTCCTCGACCTGACGGAGGTACCAATGCAGGTCCTTCTTGTGATGCGTCAAGTCCAAGATCGGGTACACCACGACCTGACCAGGTCCGTGGTACGTCACTTCGCCGCCGCGATCGACGCGTACTAACTTGACGTGCTCTTGCTCCGGGTCAAACTTGACGTTCGCCATCGAGCCACCGCGGCCAATAGTGTATACACTCGGATGCTCCAGCACAAGCACCACGTCCTTGTCGACTGACTGGCCAGCACGCATGGCCAAGACGCGCTGCTGGATGAGCTGCTTCTGCCAGTCCCACGCAGTCTCGTACTCGACGCGTCCGAGGCGATAGACGGTGCACGTGCGCTGCAGCGGCGACGGTCGCGCTGCTACAGACGGGGCGGTCGAGGAACGGGCTGCCGTGGACCACCATCGCTCGTGGCGCGTGACCGACGAGGCGGTACGCCGGACGCGGGCGCTCATGTATACGTATAGTAAAACTTCACTTGACAAGGTGCGGATGTCACTCTTCCGGATGAATGACTCCTAAGTACGTGAACAGGTTATCGCAAACATGCCCGGCGCCACACACGAGCTCCTGACGCTCGTGCAGCGGCGCGGGACAGCGGCCGAAGCGCTCGTGCGTTTCATCGCTCGTGCTGCTGTGCTCGTGCAGGACAACGTGATCGATCACAGCGCGGAGACTGCCGTCGCACTGTCTGCGCTGACTGCTGCCGTCGAGCGTCGCCAACCGGCGTGGCGGACTCGAGGACTGCCTGGCGAGCGAGCGCAGAAGCGCCAGCGAACGAGTGGTCGCGGCCGGAACGACGTCGTGTTTGCTGCCCAATTGGCGCAGAGTATTGTGAAAGTGTATGCGTTGATGGACGTTGCTGCAGCCACAATGGCAGGTTGGTGCACGGGACACCTTTGTGTGTACTGCGATAACGGACGTGTCGTGATGGTCGTGTGTGCATTTGTTGCTGTAGAAAAGGCCGATCTTGTAGCGGCACTGGATCTAGCGTGTGTCGCGCTTTACGTGGTGTGTGCCCTGGCGCATACAGTGCGTCTTGGGGACCTCGTGGTGGAAAATCTGCTCTACCAAGTGGCCAAAAAGTACACAGAGATGCCAGATGGAAGCAAAGCGGTGCGTGGAGTATGTTATAAGAGCATACAATGTTTTTCTGAGGCGGATTGCAAACGGCTTTTGTTGCTGCTAGATGCGAGAAGCAGCAAGCTGTGTGGCTGCTTGTGTCCACCTTCGTCTGTGGAACGAGCATACAAAGCTGTGCAGTAAATCCAGTGCAAGCGGTACAGAGACGTCGCAGTTGATGGCACACTTGCAAGATGCGGGTAATGTCGACTTTGCGACGACTGTCGCGAAGAAGTTGGCACTTGTAGCGGAGTTCCCGGGACCCACAAGCCTCCACACAGCACAGTTTGCCCAGCTGCTTCTTGGACATTCTAGCATGTGCGTCACGCTACTGGCTGCTACAGGGAACCACGAGGTACGATTGCGCACGGTGTTTTATCTGCTCAGTGGTCTAGAGCAGCTTGTGCTAAATTGGTATGCTGTAGGCCGTACGACGAGTTGCAGAAACCACGCTTTCGCCGTGGATTGACCGCTTGCAAGTTCTCTCCGACCAGCACTCGAAATTGGCTTCCTCGTTTAGTGACCGGACATTCCGCGTGATGTGGAAGTGTGCTGCGGCTGTAGACAGTGGTGACCAAAACGCGTCGAAAGCAACCAATGTCGCGCTTCTACTTCGTTCAACAGCGTTGACGTTCGCACTCAGATGCCCAAAATACACGTCGTTGTACTTCATACAGCAGGTGAGTGCGCCGTAGTGCTTATGTTGACACAGCGGTGGCAATGACACGGTCAGGATTGACACACCGATCGTTGAGAATTAGGTACATCGTGTTGGTGTCCAGCACGAGCGTGCATCCAAGAGGTCACATCAAGGGCTCCAAGAAGTACACGCGTTTTATGATCGATCAGCGAACGCTCTGCTCGGGACGTGTCTCGACTCAGCACAGACCTACAAAGTACGTACTATACGAAAGATGGTGTGACCAGTTGCGCTGTTCTCACTGACTGATAGAGCACTCCACTCGTTTGGCCTTTTTGGCAAATGTTGCAGTCCAAATCTTTTGAGTGGGAATATGTTCAGTGGCTCGAACACTTTGCTCTCATATGTGAAGCGCTTGAGCTGCATGTGGAAAGTGCGACGATCTTGGAAAACGCAGCTAACTATGCTCATTTGTTTGATGACACGGGGTTTATTCAGTCTTGCCTGCTGTTTTCCATTGCGGGTGCTCTCTTGCGTGCATCTGGGTATGAAAAGCGAGGCGATAGCATCCGCTCAGAAGCCGGCTCTAGCACAGCTGTTTTTGACAAGGGATTCGGATCTCGAGCTGGTAGGATCATACGAGATCTTGTTCACAGCACTTCGTCCGACGACAAACTAGTCGACCGGTGCGAAAAGGCAGCAAGTGCGCATCTGAAGAAGCTCGAAGTGTTTGTGACATCTAGTTGTAGGCCATTGAGGCCGTCGAGCATTCGTGTGTTTGCACCGTTCGTCATTCGCTGTCTGAAGAGAAGCTCGATACAGATGTACAATTACACCATTAGTGCTCAGCATTCGGCGAACGACCAGTTACGCCACCAAGTTGTGACAAGGTGAGCGATTCAAGCATTTGCATTCGTGGGGAAGACGCAATACCGTTCGTCTGACATGAGCGATTGCAGTTTTGCTGTGATGTGTGAGGCTATGAAGGAACTGCGCGGTACTCCTGACGAAACGGGTTCAAGCGTCATTGAGACGCTGATTTTGGAAGAATTACGACTTCACCGAATGGCTGTGACACTATCGGTCCGGCGTTGTGTAGGGGACGTACGCAGTTCAGCTGTGACTGAGTCTGCTCTGCACGCAGTTTCTTGCCGTGTGAATCGAATCCGTGATCTTTTGCACGACGCAACGATGGATGGAAAGTCTTGCGAATCGACTTTGAAGCGAGTTCTGGGCGATCTGAAATCAGTTGCTCGTGATTGTTACAACTTTGCAGTTCGATACTACAAAGCAGGAAACTACCAGGTGACAATCGTAGCACTCACAGGAGCATTTCAGGTTGTGGAAACGTACTTGGAGTGCGTCATGCGTAGTCATGCTACCGCAGACGAAATACACGCGGCACACGCTCACCTGAAAGCTGACGATATTGCTTCTTTGCTAGCACACTGCTTTCGCGAAACGGGAGATGCAGTGCGATCACGGCAATTCGCTGAGCACTCTCTTGTGTACTGTGCCGACATCCACGAGAAAACGCCGCAAGCAAGTGTCGACAAATACGTGTCATGTGTTTTGAATGAGCTCAAACAGTCAGGCGACGGTGCGAAAGACTTCATCGTGCGCACGTTCAAAGTCTTCCTGAGCAACGTCACGCGCGTGTTAGAGTCTCGGCGCGTATCCGACGATCGCATGGTCATGCTGTGGAACGCGTTTCGATACGCCCTTGAACTTGCGTCTGCTAAAATCATGGACAGCGTGCGAGCCGGGGATTGCGGTGAGGTTGCGTGTACAGACCGTGCGTCATCCGAATCATGTGTGCATTTGTGTGGTGTGCTTCAGAGTTACGTGGATGGTCAATTGGTGAAGTTTAGACTGAAGGCGATCGACGGCAAGTTGTTTGACGACATTCTACTGGACGTCTCCCAGTCACTAGCAAGACGCAAGCACGTTTACTGTTGTTTTTATGCCAAATGTGACTTTAGCGCTACGATGGAGGACCTTTTACTCGTCCATCACTCCCTTTCTACTGCTGCTGAGAAACTTCAGTCTTTGGCTGGAGCTCTTTCTGTCGATCTCGGAGGCGTCTACGGATGGCGTGGTGTGATTACTATGGAAATTGCTCTCATCGCTAGCTACGCCGGCTTGTCGGCAAGCGATGCCACTCGTGAAAAAGCTGTTATGTCCGAAAACAGCGCGATTGCAGACATCGAACAATGCTTGAAGTACTGGGATACAGGATGCACCTCTGGTTTCCTGTTTGACGTGCCTTATGTGATGTGCTGCTTGCATTCCGTCTGCAACACACTGTCCATAGCTCCATGCTCACCGCTAGAAGACGTCGCTCGTAAGCTACGCAGAAAGCTCCAACGCTTGGCTGATGAGGTAGTAGCTCCTGAACTATGGTTGCTCGACCCCGATATGTCAGTTGATCGATTGATTGTGGAATATGAAGTTGCTACCTCGACGGATGCAGGCATTGACAACAAAATAGGGACGTTTGAGCTAGCGGACAAAGCTCTGCTTGCTGCCGAGAGTGCTCAGGCTAACGGTAATAAGGGCCAAACGTGTCAGCACTTGCGCGATGCGATGGCTATGCTCGGTGGCATCACACCAAGTCAGAGGCAGGGCCGAACTGCAGTGTTCGCGAAGGCAGTAGGGATGCGAGAGTACATTGCTCACGTGATACTGTCGGATTTATACTTTCATGAAGGGCGCAGTACATGTGCCATTGCAGAAGCTAAAGCTGCGCTGCGTCTTTGTTGGAAAATGGCAAAAACGTGTACCGCCAGCTCGTCGTCTACTGGATGCACTGCGTGGTTTGAGCTGCCATCAGAGATTGCGATCGCGAAGAGTCAAGAGCGTAAACCTGGTTACCTGCTGGACTTCATGGCGCTGGAAAGTTTGTCTTGGGACCTGCTGCTTGCTGCGAAGATGATATTGTGTCGGCTAGCATCCCTCTACACCTTATGTGACCAACCCCGCAGGTGATGTCATGCGATCCGATCGTTGTGTGCCGATGTCGATACTCATTTGTTGCTCTGTTATAGGGCCACTGCGTATCTAATGGAAGCGATGCGTCTTGTAGGCGGGTTGAATCTGCGGTTTTTCCGTCGGAGTCCGTTTTACGAGTACGCAGAACTGGAGCTTAATGCGAGCCACGTGAAGAAGGCAAAAGTAGCCATATCGCTATTGTCATTCAGTCGAAAGAGGATACCGGACCAGAAAGAAGCTGATTGTACTGACCACGCTATGACGTCTTGGCATCACTCATGCATTGGGTCTGATGTGGCATTCATCGAGCAAAGATGCAAGGAAGTTGTGCAGCAAGGAGATGTGTACGAAACCGAAGGGAACTACCAACAAGCATTAGCTTGTTTCGGCAGAGCACGTGAGGCTCTGGATGCTGTTGAAGATAAAGGACATCTCGTTTCGACGAGACTAGGAAGAGCGAGAGCTCGTTGCTGGCGTAAGTATGCACGACTACAAAGCCAAGTTTGCGACTTTTCCGACTCAGCAGCAGTAGAAGCGTTGCTGGTTTCGATGAAAAGACTAAAGCAGTCGGTCAAGGCCTGCGGTCAGCATCTGGAACGAGTGAAGTGCCTACTTGAACTGGGACGCATCAACACGAGGCTGTTGCGCTCGGCCTCGCCTCGGGCGTTTACTAGCCTTGGCGGAACCATTGCCTGCTTGGAGGAAGCGTACTTGCTCGGCGATCATCTCGGCATTGCTTACCTAAGCCAGGAATTGCGGGCAGCATTAGGAATGGCCTATTTTGCTGAAATCGAGGACAACACTGGCAGCAAAGATGATCCCACATCCGACCGCGTACCGTTTCTTGCATGGATGAGCGGCGCATTGCTGGCGAACTCTGGCAGCGCCGGTATGGTTGCTGTGAAAGAGATGCCATCCTTCGAACTGGGTAGCGACAAGTCACCACGGGACTCTTTGACGGTGCAGCTCGAACATCTGGCTGCAAGTTCAGCTCCAAGTCACGAACTGGAGTCGCACAAAACCCTGACGAACATGGCCCAGAGCATCAGTAAGCAGGTCGGGCATCTACCAGACGATTGGGTCATCGTATCCGTGACAATAACGTCGTCGGATGAGCTTGTGATTACGCGCGTACAGGTACGTTTTCTGCGATCAACGAGTCAAAATGATGCGATCTGACTGCCTGATTGCAACAGACAAACGGTCGCGCTCCAATCTCATTCTGCTTGTCTGAGGTTGCTTGGGCAACTTGCATTCGCGAGGTGGATGCGATCATACAAGACTCAAGGTATGGCATTACACAAGTCAGCTTGCACTTATTCCAATCTGACGTCATTCGATGCGATGCGGTTTGAAGAGAGGTTTTGTCAGGTCATACGGCTGAGGAAGCAAGCTCTTGGAACGCAGAACAAAAGGAAAAGTGGTGGTGTACTCGCAAACTGCTAGACGAACGCATCGACAAAGCATTGGTCTCCATGCAGGTACGAACAACTGACTGCACTATACACTGAAGGCTACGCGTTATTGACTATTTGGATAGGAAACGCTGGGTTTCTGGCGATGCTTACTTGTTGGAGGACCGAGTACTCCCGACAGAATCCAACGCTGCTGGGAAATCCTGGTCTCGAGCAAACAAGGGCCTACCCGACTGGTGGAAAGGAACCAGACTTTGTTGTGCGCCATTGCTGATTCACAGCAGAGCTTGTCAGACTGTGAAGTGATCGATGGACTGAAGCACATTGCAGCAGAAATCGGTGCGCCCGTATCCGATTCGGCAGTGCGTGAGGCCCTGCGCGTACTGCGGTCGGAGCGAACCGACACGAGATCAAACTCTTCGAAGGCAGCTCTCTCGACGTTGGCCAAGCTGAGCACGGAAAGACTGGCTAGAATGAAAGTCGGCGAGGTGAGGCAGCATCTTGCTGCGGAGGGCCTTAGTACCGATGGATCGAAGAAGGCAATGATTGAACGGCTGATTGCTGCTCGCGCCGCCGCCCTATCAGACGAGTATCTTTTACCGATGAAACGCTCTCATGGTGACACCGACAACCCGTTCTCGACAATATTGATCTTGCATCACGAGCTGCAGCAGTTTCCATGGGAAGGAATGGACGTAATGGGCCATTCCAGCGGCGTCACTCGCATGCCTTCGCTTGAACTGATCCTCGAGAACGCCAAGTGCTCGCCGCTTGTCCGACGCGATCGCGTGCATTTCGTGCTGAATCCTGCTGGAGATCTCCGATCAACCGAGCATCAGCTGGGTCCGATTGTGGCAGACGGAGTGACTGCATATGGCTGGGAAGGCACTGTTGGCAAAGCTCCCGATCCTGATGAGCTGAGGTATGTCAGTCGCGTAGCAGCACTAGTGTCGGTCTCGATCTCACGGTATTGCGTATATGTTGATGATACACTGTTACTGCAGAAACAGACTGGAAGCCGCGGACCTTTTTGTTTATTGCGGTCACGGCTCGGGTGAGACGTACTTGCCCCGCAACAAGGTCCTTGGGTTACAGCCCAACTGCAGCGCTGCGCTGCTCTTCGGCTGCAGCAGTGGTCGTCTCGAGCGGGAGGGCATTTTCGGTCCGCATGGCGCTGTGCTGGCTTACTTGCGCGCTGGAAGTCCCGCAGTGCTGGCGATGCTCTGGGACGTCACGGATCGCGACATTGACCAGCTGAGTGTCAAAGTGTTGCAGGACTGGCTCCTGGCAAACACTGCCGATGTCGATGGCCGTTGCCGTCGTCGACTAGCGCTGGCCAAAGTGCTGCACGACTCTCGGACTGTGTGCAAGCTCAAGTACCTCAATGGACACGCCGCAATCTGCTACGGGCTCCCGCTGTACGTGGCAAACCATCGCACTGCGCCACGACAGCCGACCACTTCAACTTGACCTCGTTGCATTGTGGTGTGGCGTGGTGTACGCCGTGTGTGGTCCACACTCGACCGTGACCCGCGAGACGTCGTGGCCGTATTAATAGCCAATCATCGACTGGTGTGGCGCCGCGTACCCGCTCCAGGCCAGACGTCACCGTAGCGACCCGCTTGTCCAGCAGGAACATGGTCCGGCTCTGCTCTACGCCGTTGAAGCCGCTGCCTGTGGACGTGGCTGCAACGCGTGCACTGGTGGCGAAGGTACCGTCGTCAGTGGCTGCACGAGAGTATGTGCGCACGCTGGCGACGACCACGTACGGACGCTGCGTGCTTGGACTGGGTACGCTGATATACTTACTGGATACGTTTGTACCTCGACAGTGCCTCGACTGCTTGTTGTGTGGATATTGACGGTACTGGAGTCTGCTGCTGCTGTTGCTGCTGCTGTTGTTGTTGTTGTTGCCTGTGCTTGTTGTGGTGGTCTTCTAGCGGGGTTCTTGACGTTTGTGACTGAGCACATGGCGACGTTCGTCACGCGCGTGGAATGTGACGTGGGTGCTGATGATCGACGGATCATGCAAGAGGTGAGATGGAGTGGCGACTGTCGACGCGTCGTGTGTTAATGCCGACACTGGATGCCGATAGATGCTGTGGCTGCTTGCGGAGACGGTGGTTGACGAAGACAATGCAACGTTTATCGGTGAGGTCGCGAGTTGAAAGGCCGCTAGCGCTTGATGGATCTTCTTACTCGGATGTGTTCGTGTAGCGCGTATTGGAGCACACCCTTTGCTGATGCGTCTGATGGACCACGAGAAGGAAGACATACGAGAGGTCAGCAATGACAGTGAGTCTCTATTGGCAAAACGAAAACGCTGACGTTGCTGCGTGTGGATGATACAACGCGTTGCAGGCAGCTGCTGCGGTCGTCTCCGGTTGCACCAGTAGTCCATCTGCTATCACATTCCCGCACCGTGTCCGTCAAGTGGGCGAAGTCGAACGTTTGTGGCCGCGTGCGGTGCCACTGCCTTTCGACGTCCGCGATGGTGCTGTCAAGAATCCGGACGGCAGCCAAAGCACGCTGCATGTGCTCATTCGTCAGGTCCCGACTCGCATGACAGGCCAGTGCAAGACGGGTTACTTGCTTTGGGGCGCAGCGTTTGTTCTCGCTCGCTGGATCCATAAGCACCGCGACCTGTTCACAGGCAAAAGTGTGATCGAGGTGGGCAGTGGTCTTGGACTTGGAGGTATCACGGCGGCACGATATGCGGGCTACACTACACTTACGGACTACCAGGCTGATACGTGTGCAGCGCTGGAGTATAACGTGCAGCTCAACAAACCGTTTACACACGAGTTTGATTCGGCAAAACCGGAAGTGAAGGTATCGGTTCTGGACTGGGACCTGGCTGAAAGTATTGAGGCTGTGCCTACAGCCCAGGTGGTCATTGGCAGCGACATTATTTGCGAGCCAAGCACCGCCGAAGGGTTTCTGCGTGTTGTGCGACATCACTTGCTGAGCGACGCCAACAGCGTGGCTTACCTCGTGAACGCCAACAGCCACAGTCGTTTCGGCGTTGTTCACCTGCACGCGCTCTTGGCTGCAAGCACCGATCTGTCCTACAGCATAACACGAGTTGGTGAACTACCTGACGGCGCTGAGCTGCTCGAGACGGTCAGCGACGCGCTGGAACTGGCCTACGAACTCTATGAGATTCGTACAGCATGTAGCTAGCACTTTACAGGCATATAGCATCATAGAATGCCTATGGTTCGCCCCGAAAAACATACCCTTTGAATCAGTCGAGAGCATAGCAAACAAAGAGGCTCACACACTGGTCGACACCGAGGAAGACAGAGCTCTAGTACCGCGTTAGTAGTACCGAAGAAACCACAACGTCGCGCGCGGTACACCAAGTAATCACCTGTCCAACGACCGACCGACCGACCGACCGACTCACGACAACGCACGTGAAGCCATTGCGCCTGCCAATCAACACCCACATGGCTACATCCTGCCACGCCACCCGTACACACACATATGTACACACACACACACACACCTACCCTCGATCATCCACAAGTGCATCCACCAATCGCTTCCGTTTGTTTCCACCAATCAGCGGCGACGATGGGCTGCACCGCACACACCCGCGACGCTTCTGCCAACCAGCCACTCCACGTCCGCCACTTCGCTCGCCCTCGCGCTCTCTCTCGCGCTCTCTCGGCAGCATGTGCGGCATCATCGCGTTGATGCTCGCGAACCGCTTCGAGCACTGCAATCAGGGCCTCTACGACGGCCTCACTGTGCTGCAGCACCGCGGCCAAGGTAGGCAGTTTGCCAGGTGTCGCCGTTGACCATTGCGTCGCGCATTTACTGGCCACAGGTACTGACTCGTGGGTGTACCTCTTCTTGTGGCCAACGTGTGTGGGTGCCCACAGACGCCGCTGGTATCATGACGTGCGAGAAGAAGCGCTTGTTCCTGCGCAAGGACAATGGCCTCGTGCGCGACGTGTTCAAGCAGACGCACATGCTGAACCTGCGGGGCAACATGGGCATTGGCCACTGCCGCTACCCGACCGCTGGCTCGAGCTCGAGCTCGGAGGCGCAGCCGTTCTACACCAACTCGCCCTATGGCGTTGCGCTCGCGCACAATGGCAACTTGACCAACTCGCACGAGCTCGTGGACCAGTTGGCCAACACGAACTTTCGGCACGTGAACACGGACTCGGACTCGGAGCTGCTGCTCAATATCTTGGCCGACGAGCTCCTCAGACGTGTGGACCGACCGCTGGACACGGAGATGGTGCTGGACGCTGTCACGGGCGTGTTCAAGCGCTGTCGCGGGGGCTACGCGGCCGTGGTGCTGATCAACGGGTTTGGCATTGTCGCGTTCCGTGACGCGCACGGTATCCGTCCGCTCGTGTACGGCACGCGTAAAAGCCAGCACGGCAGCGACTACGTCGTGGCGTCAGAGAGCGTTGCGATCGACACGCTTGAGTTCAAGATGGAGCGCGACTTTGCGCCGGGGGAAGCAATGGTCATCAAGCAGAGTGGAGAAATGACCACGCGGAAGTGCATACCGGGTGCCAAGCTGTCCCCGTGTATCTTTGAGCACGTGTACTTTGCCCGACCCGACTCGTTCATCGACGGTGTCTCAGTGTACCAAGCGCGTCGCAATATGGGGGCGAAGCTCGCAGAGAAGATATTGCGCGAGCGGCCGGACCACGGCATTGACGTGGTCATTCCCATTCCGGACACGAGCCGCACGTCTGCGCTCGAGGCTTCGCAGAAAATGAAGATTCCGTACCGCGAGGGCTTTGTCAAGAACCGATACATTGCACGGACGTTCATCATGCCTGGCCAAGTTGCGCGCAAGAAAACCGTGCGCATGAAGTTGAACGCTATCCGCTCCGAGTTCGAGGGCAAGGTTGTGCTGCTCGTAGACGATTCGATTGTTCGTGGCACCACGTCGCGTCAGATTGTGCAGATTGCGCGCGAGAACGGCGCCAAGGCCGTGTACTTTGCGTCAGCTGCTCCAGCCATTCGGCATCCCAACGTTTACGGCATCGACATGCCCACGACGGAGGAGCTCATTGCCTTTAACAAAACTGCGGCTCAGGTGGCCAAGGAGATTGGCTGCGAGTGGATGATTTTCCAGGAGCTGAACGACTTGGAGGATTGCGTGCGGCAAGAGAGCTCGGCGCTCGCGGGTTTCGACTCGTCGTGCTTCAACGGCGTCTACGTTACAGGCGACGTGAACGAGGCGTATTTCGAGCGGTTGCACGCTGAACGTTGCGACGCGCGCATGCAGACGAAGAACATGGGCTTTACACCATTCAGCCGGACAATCTCTGCTCCTCAGTCTGACGAGAGCATCGACATGTACAACGCTCCGCAGTGAGTTGGAAAGCGGTTGAGCTGTCGAGGGTCCCAGTCCAGCAACGGCGGGTGGGTCGTTTGATCAGATGGGCTCCAGTCAGAGGTGCTGTGGGAAAACGCTCTGCGTCGCTAGCTCATGTGGCTAGCTCTCATGGTTCCAAGGATACTGGAAACGCCGGGGTGTACCGAGTCCCTTCTTTCGTAGTCTACATCATCACATAGAGCAATAAACAAACACGATCCCTCCGACGCGTTGCAGAGTGAACAGACGTGAAGCTGCACGAGAAAAGGCGACAAACGTCTCATGTTGACGAACGGACCGAACACATGTAATGACTCTTGCAGTGCCAGGCTGCCCGTTTCTTGACTCTTACCGACTCTTGTGCTGGACAATGTAGTATGCCCATCATCACCCATCTACTGGAAAGGCACGTTGTTCTGAGCAAAGTACGACTGCAGCGCCGTCAGCGTCGCGGGTGTCGGTAGTTTTGTCTGGGCGTATGCCAAATGCTGGACAAACGTACAAAAGAAGCACAGTTAGACGGCAGTCCATGCTACAGATGACGAAGAAAGGAATGACTTACCACGCCAGGTTTGGACGCCGACAACTTTGCAATCGACTCGGCAAGGTAGCGCGTTGGCACCGGGTATTCCTGCAAGTGGTCGAGCGAGACCACTGACGCAAAGAACAGCTTTGCGTAACCAGCTTCGTAACCCGTCTGTTCCAGTTCAAGCAACGACTCGTCTTCGTCCTTCACCACGGCACCACTTTCTCCAGCTTCTTCAAGTACCTTCACCACTGCCGCTAGCATCTCCGTCCACAGGTCCAAGTCCGCGACACAGAGCTCTGTTTCGCACATCAGTCGCGTGAGACCAATGACGCAAGCTTTCCGCTCAGCAGGACCGCGACCACGCGCATTGCACGTCAGCCACACCGATTTAATGAACATGGTCGACATGCCCTTCTGCAGAGCTTCCAAAGACGCTAAGAACGTGTCTGGCCCAAGCTTTCCAATAAGCACGGACACTGTGTAAACAAGCTCCTTCGTGTACCCCACAGAATTGCGACCAGCCATGCGGGTCTGGAGTCGAATCATAAGTATCTTGACGATTTCGTTCAGGAAGTTGGCATAAGCTTCGCGCGGCATGAACGCAAACAGCCCTCGCAGCAGTGAAAAGGCGCTTGCTTCCGTCGATCGGGACGAGATCAGCTTCTGAAAAACGCCGAGGATTCCTTGCACAGACTGGGCCACATCAGTCGGGGCCTTCCGCATGTACGCCTCAATCAGCTTCACGATAGCCGGCACGTTGCTAATTCGCTCCCACAACGCAGGGTTCAGCAGCACAGGAAACATGCTCTTGTACGCGTCGGACACACCGCTTGGTCGAAGTTCCAGCATCTGAGCCAACACCTGGTACACGTACGGTGACAGCGCCTCAACGTCATTCGTCAGCACCTTCTGGAAAGGTGGAAAAAGTAACTCCTCGAAGCGTTCGGTCGCGGCGGGATTCGTCTTGCACACGTTGAGGATCAGCACAGACAGCGACTCGAAAAGGTAGTGACTGAAAGACGGATTACTGGGGTTCGCACAGATGCGATTCAGGATACTGGTGAGCTTGTTGACTGCCATGTCAGTCAAAGTCAAGATGCCTTCCTTCGCCACGTTCATCACTCGCATGACCACCTTCATCAGGTAGTCATTTTCAGGGTAGTTGGGCTGCTCAAGGATGTTGAACACGTGCTCCAGCAGCTTACCCAGATATGGTGCGAGTCGTTCCTTCGAGAAGCGTAGCGTGCCCGAAGGATCCTTCACAGTAAGAAGACGCTCAAGGCACGCAGCAGCATACGTGTGCACCACGAATTGTGACGGATCCATGCAGTTCATCAAAAGAGGAAAGAGCTGGTCCATGATTTCCACCGACATCTGACTGCGGAACGTCGAGACAAACTTGATAGCGTCGGCCTTCAAGATGAGAGACGCTTGGTTGGGCGTCGAAAGCTCCGGCAGCACCTCGGCCGTAAAAAAGTCCATGAGCGGCACTCGGCTGTTCACCTCGGACACACCACGCAGACGGGATTGTTTCATTGCGGATATAGCAATCACCAGATTGATCGACACATCTTTCATTGCCCAATTGCGAACTGGGTCCGCCTTGTACTGCTGCAGGTGCGTCTGGATCGCAGACATGCAGAGCTGGGTGACCGCCTCGTCAAAGTTGCTGAGCAATCCACGCACCAGGTCGCGCGCTGCACTGCGACGACTGTCGCCATCAGATCCTTCAATGTCGCGGCGAATATAGTCCATCGGATTTTCTTCAAACAGCTCTTCGTCCGACGATCGTAGCTGCAGATTCGTGACTACAATGCCGCACAACTCGGTGAGCACTTGCGGAGACTCAAACAGCGCACGATGAAACGAACGTGATGCTACTGCCGTCAAGAACTGCATGCACTTGGCCGCCAGCTCGTCGTGCTTGGGGAACAGCGTGATCCGGTTCGCCAGCAAATTCCAGATCACTTCGGTAAACTTTGGCAGAAACGGCTTAAACTCTTCGTCGTACTTCTCTGCGTACAAGTTAATGTTCTCAACAATGGCCACGAGCAATCGGTCGATCGGGTCCGGCTCGTCTTCATTGTCGGCATCAACCAGCGCTGCGTTCTCGTAGCTCAAGTAGCTCAAGAACCCCTCCATCCACTCGGCCACGTGGTCTTCAAAGAACTCGGGCAAGTCCTGCCAGTTGAGCGAGTAAAAGATGCGGCTCATGTGGCGCAGCGCCGCCAGCATCTGCACGTGCTGAGCCGGCGACGCTCCAGGCGCGCGCAGCGCTGTGCCCGTCTCGACAAAGCACGTGAGCAGCGGTGCTTGGAACACGTCGAGGCAGTGCTTGAGCTCCCGAAAGAGGTCGTCCGACTTGAACACGTGGCGGAAGCGCTTGAAGATCGTGTTGGCCGTCACGAGCACTCCGTTGCGCACCTGCCAGTCCGACTCGCGCTGCAGCTGCTGCACGAGCTGCGGCAGCAACTCGGGCCACTGCGCCGGGAAGTCGTACTCGCCAATGGTCGCGAGCGCCTCAATGAGCTGTTTCTGCAGCGTCTCGGGCATGCGGCACATGAGTGCGACCACGTGCTGCTTGACGGCGCTTTTCTCGCGCGGCGAAACGCTTTTTTCGCGCTCGGGGTCCCAGTTCTGCTTGATAAAGTTCTTGAGCACGAGCGCCGCCGCGAGGCGCACGTCGTGCGGCTCCTGCGCGCTCTCGAGCACCTGAAGCAGCCACAGCACGTAGTCGGGACGCGCGGACAGCGTCGCCAAGTACGTTTCCGCGCCCTGCCGCGTCTCGGCAAAGGGCGACAGCGTCGCCGCGAGCGACTGGCGCAGCAGGTGGAGGGCGGGATCCGCCGCCATGGAGTGCGTGCAAACGGCTTTTTTTCTATTGCGTGGCGACCAGCAGATGCGCGCGATAGAAACGTGGCCTAAACTAGGAAAAACACACTTACCCACTCACTCACCCAGTTACAGGGGTCGTACCGGTCGCAAGCAGCTGCAACGCGGTACTGGATCGGTACCGGATCGGTACAGTACCTTTCCAGTCCCGTACCCCTTTAATGTCACGCCCACAAGTCGAATATTGTGTGTACGCCACCCCAAACGTCATAATTCGCTCGTCATATTCGTCGGCATGACCCGCAACGCGCCCGACTTGGCGGCGGACCTGCTGCAGGTCCAGCAGCTGTTTGCCAACAACTACCTGAGCGACGTGCAGTTCCTCTTCTCGTCGGACGCGTCTGGACGCGACGCGCTGGACGCCGTGACGGCTGGCAACAGCAACAGCGACAGGCGCGGCGCTCGGCTGGGCCATCTGATTCCAGCCCACCGTCTCGTGCTCTCGCTCCGCAGTGGTGCGTTCCACGCGGCGCTGCAACGCGCCAAGAGCAGCCACGCGCCGGGTCACGTGCGGTTTCCGCTGAAGATCCACGTGCACGACACGCCCTACCGCGTGTTTTATGCGCTGCTGCGGTTCTTGTACACGAACGAGCTGGACGCTGAGGACGTGCGGGACGACGAGATGCACAGCTGCGAGCAGTTTTGGCTCCAGCTGTTGCGTGCGGCGTTCGTGTACTTAGTACCGCCACTCGTTGCCATTTGTGTCCAGAGGATTGGGGACGTGTTGGGGCATTGGGAAGGCGGCAAAGTGGAGGAAAAGGAAGAGCGCGAGGCAACGACGCAACAAGTGTACAAGAAGACGTTAGACGTGTTGGTGTTCATGGACACGGTGCTGGCTGCAAATCCACTCACTGCTCGACGAAGAGGAGACGCGGACGCGGCGCTGCCGTCGTCGCAGACTGGGCAGCGAGCGACTGGAGGAGACTCGAGTGTGTCTGCGCTGGGAAAGTGCACCGAGGCAGTACATCGACTCCAGAGTATGTGCATGCAACAGCTTCAACGGATGGACGACGTAGCGTTTCAGGAACTTGTCCAGAGCGACACTGGTGGACGGTGCTCGACGGAGCGATTGTGCGAGATCCTGCGACTGCGGTCCGACACGCCACTGGTTGTGGCAGTTCGGTACCAGCTTGGTCGCGTCGTGAATGAATTGCTGCGGCTTGGGGAGCCCTTGAATCGGGTTGGACACGACGAGACCGACTTGCCACTGGTGGCAGCGCTGAAAAGCGGTAACAGCGCGATCACCCGTCGGCTCCTGGTCGACGACAGTGCGCCGTTTTTCCTTCTCACGGACAAGATACCTCTGATCTTTCTCGCAGCTGCGAGTGGCAATGTACAGCACTGCGAGATTCTGGTCGAACAGAATGCAGCCGACGTCAACTTGATCTCGCGACTGAAAGACGGAGATAAAGACATTACAGCTGAGTTTGGACACCAGCAAACACCTCTGCACATTGCCAGTCGAAAGGGTCACAGTGCAGTGGTGGAGCTGTTGCTGCAGCACAATGCCGCTGCGAATTTGCCTGACGAGGAAGGAAACACAGCACTGCATTACGCGGCTAATATCGAGACAGTGCAGGTCTTGTTGAACAACGCATTCCGAACGAACGCCAATATTCCGAACCGCCGAGGACAGACACCGCTGCACATTGCTGCTGCGCGAGGCGACGTTGCCGTGGTAGCCTACCTCATTCGCCATGGCGCAGCACACGAGATTGTCGACGATCAAGGCCAGAACGCGTTCCATCATGCTGCTGCGAACGGGCACACAGCAGTCGCGCTGGTTTTACTTCACGATACCGATGGGTCAAGACCGAAAACGCTAGCAACAAGTCCCGATCGAAGTCCTGCAAGTAGCGCGTCGACAGACGATTCTCGCTCGGACAAATCTCAGCAGCCGGTCGAACCGACGAACAGCAGTGATGTGAATGCAACTCACGAGCCCTCGGACGAGCTCGACACGTCGAGCAGGTTTGATATCAACCAAGAAGACCTCAAGGGCAACACGGGTCTTCACCTCGCTGCAATGTCGCCGTCCGATCGCTGTCAAAAGATGCTCCAGCTTCTTCTCGAGAACGGCGCCGACCCAAACCGATCCAACTGGTTTGGCTACACGCCGCTGCACGTCTTTTGCTCGCACCAGAGTGGACCAGCGTTCCTTGTCAACTCGTTTGTACGTCAAAGTACCGCGAGCTGCCAGCGCTCGCGCTGCACAACGGATGTGTTGGTATTCCAGTGTACTAACCTGTCCTTCTGATGATGATGACGTTGTTGTGTCTGTCTGTCTGTCCAGATCGAACACGGCGTCAACATCCACGCACAGAGCTTAGACGGCAGCACCGCACTGCACCTGGCGGTCGGCCGAGCGAGTCAGGACGTTGCTGTCGCTTTGGTCAGCGCAGGGGCCTACGTGCACTTGCTCGACGCCGCCGGTCGCAGCGTCGTCCACCTCGTCGAGAGCACGAATCAAGGCGCGATGCTCGTCCCCGTGCTGCGCAACCTGTCGCGTGCCCCCGAGCGCGTCAGCGACGAGCAGGCGACAGAGTGCTCGGCGTGCCACGTTGCGTTCCGCCTGGCGATGCGCCGCTACTATTGTCGCCACTGTGGCCGCACGCTGTGCTACAACTGCGCGGGCCACACGATTGCGATCCCCAAGTTCCACGTGCTCCGGCCGGACCGCGTCTGCCGCACGTGTTTCGACGTCTTGTCGTTCCGCAAACTGCTGTAGCTGCTGGTCGGGTCCGCTGCTGCGCAAGTGGCGCGCGCCGAAATGGCTACACCCACCGGCACGAGGGCCACTTGAAGCGGGGCGCGCCGAAATGGCTACACACACCCGCACGAGGGCCACTTGAAGCGGGGCGCGCCGAAATGGCTACACCCCCCCGCACGAGGGCCGTCGTCGGCTTCCGATTGGCTAATATTGCCGCCCGCAGCGCTGGGGTCGATCCCACGATCGCTGCTCGCGGCGCGACGGGCGACGCCGTTAGTTCTCTGTCGCTATTGGCCCTCTCCGCATCGCCCGCGCAATGGCAGTAGCCCCACGAGGGGCGACGCCAGTACCTGCGCCGTCGTTGGTGGCTGCATTGCCGACGGCCCCGAGCACTGGCGACGGGTTTTACGTGCTCGTGAACGTCGTCGGGGCCTCTCTGCGCTGCAGTGTGAACCCCCAGTGGCCATGTGAAGCGCTGCTTGGCGCTGCAGCGGAAGCCTATCGTGCGTCGTTCGTGGACACGGAAGTGCCCGAGTGCAACGTGGTGTTCCATCGCAAGAAGCAGGCATTTCTCGTGGCGGGGACGCCCATTTGCGAGTGCTGCGCGAGCGGTGACGAGCTGGAACTTGGTGCTACTCTCTCGGCACAGGAAAGTGCGTCGAGGGGGGCTGCAGTACCTGTTGGTGTTGCGAAGGATTGGGCTGTCGACGCTGATGGAGAGACGAGGGAGTTCTGTGTGTTGTTCCACAAACTTCCGCTCGGGTTCACGATGAAACGTGGCAGTGACGGACAGACAGAGGTGGGTACGATTTACCCCAAGAGTGTCGCGACGCACTTCGTGCGGCTGGCACCGGGTGTGGCGATCGTGAGTATTGCGGGGACGCCACTTCAGGACATGGGACTGCGTCAGGTGCACGACCTCATTAAGAACGCGACGCTTCCGCTGGATATCCGCTTTCGAGGGCCCGATCGACTGGTGTCATTACCGATGCTGCCTGATGGTTTCGATCAACCAGTGCCATCCCCACGATCACCAGCGACGGCTGTTACGCCTCCGGCATATTCGCAGCAGGAGGGAAGGCGTCGCGGGGGGCCTGCTGATTGTCGCGGTATTCAGAGCAATGGCAGTGATCGCAGTCAAAATCGTCATGGCATTCGACGGGGGAACAGCCGTGAGGTCGATCCGATACAACAACAGCAGCGCCTTGGTACCCAGCTGGAGGGCGTACAAAGGTTCGATGCACTCGCGTCGTCAAGTCAGCGCACTGGACGAGAATCGCACGAAGCAGCTACACTCGTGAAGCAAATCGAGGAGCTGAAGGTGGCCCTGCTGCGAAAGCACGAAGAAGCAAAGCAAATTGCGCGGCAGCTCGAGTCGTGCTCTGAAAAGCTACTAGCCCTTCGTGGCGAAGCGAACGGTACGGCAGCATCTCGGCAACAACAACAGCAGCAGCAGCAGCAGCAACGAAGTACAAGCACGAAGCAGTTTGATGCGACTCGCTCCCGCCACGTACGATCAGCATCAGCGACAAGTGGCAGGTCCAACTCTCGACTTACACCGGAGGTGTTGGAGGCCATGGACCAGAGAGCTGGTCTACCTCGACGCGGTGCAGGAGTCTACACTTCGTCGAGCATCTCATCGGTGTCGGGATATTCAGCCCAATCCATGCCTGTTGCTCGCTCTGCAACTGCACGTGCACGGACTGCACGTGCTGCGGCCCTCGCAAACGCCGACAACGTGTCGGTATCGTCCAACACGTCCAACTCGTCTGCTAAGTCTGCTCGCAAGGGACGGGGTGACTATTCGCCGCGTGGAACCGTGCACCGGAATCTGACCAAGCGATACAACTACATGCCACAGAGGTACGAGGCGGTTACCGCGAGTGCGTCGGAGACTGGCGCCACTTCGCTGTCCTCCCGTGGGGCCGTCATGTCGCGTGCCCGGATCCCGCGCGACTCGTTTATCACCAAGAGCGAGAGTCCAGGCGTCGGCTATTACGACGTGAAGGTAAATGATCGTGTCAAGGGCGGTGAGATTGGCGATTCCAGTCGCTCGCTGCCATGGTCTTGAGCATCGAGTGCATTGCCTGGAGAGTCTCCTCAGTTCATGCAGCAATAATGGTCATAGTGCTCGTGCCATAATGTAAGTACATGCAGTTGCTCATGGGGTTTGGTGCATGGTTGCGATGCAGCAATTGCAGCACTGTTGAATCTCGGTTGAAAAAAAGCAGAGCAGTTACAACAGCAGCTGATTGCATGGGGATGCCACCGTGTCAATTGGTACTCTACTGACCATTGAGAACAAGTTTACTTCTTGATCGCCTTTCACGTAGAATCGATGATGAATGCCCGTGAATCGAATGACTGAGATAGCTCACATGTACGATAGCGCTAGCGCAGCCTCTCCTGCTGCGAGATTAAACCTGTGGAAATGCAAGCCCAACCACAGCAGCGGGAAGCCGGTGGCGACATAAATACTTGACTACGCCCTAACACCTATTCCTCCGCCCTCACCTTCGGCCGTCACCGCAGTGTTTGAAGAGACCATGACGACGTCGACAAGCTGACTGCCACGACCACGCGCAGCTCAAAACCCAGCCACGCTGGACGGGGACTCGTCCCGCTCGTGTTTCTTGCTTCGAGGACCAAAGGTCGTTTCAAAGTGCTGCCAGACAGCTCGAAAGCACGGCGTCACTTGCTGCTCATCGTAGCCAGTGAGCGTCGACAGTTCGTCCCTCCACAGTGGGGTGACCCCCAACGCCTTGCGGGATGCTACCAAGATGGCAGCAGCTACGACGGAGGGACGGTACACCTGCAACGCATACTCCTGCAACACCAGGTCCACGAAAAACTCGGCGTACTTGCAGTAGTATCCGTGCGCTTCGTCCACGAGGTCCGATCCCAGCACTCGGTCGTTGGCAAACAGCACGGTCTGGCCCATATAGTATTGCAAAAAGTGCAGCGGCATCACACCTGTCAGTCGCAAGCCCAGTCTACATATGCAGCACAGCACCATACACCAAGCAAACAGCAAGCAAAGTCAGCACGACCGACGTGGCATCGACACCCAGGTGCAAAGCGACGATAGGTCCCCCCACGCATCCATACGACACGAGCAGCAGCAGCCACAAGTTCGTCATCAGAGCACGCAACACGCGAGTGACCACGTGGCTACTCACTTTTGGAAAACGTCGGCTTCGGCGTCGTTGATCTCGTCGAACGAGTACATTCGGTTCCCCATCTCCCAGAACTCGGCCATCGGCGGCAGCTCTTCTTCCGTGCCGAGGAACTTGAGCGCCACGCGCAAACAGCACAGCGCCAGCAGCTGGAACCGGTCCTTGCGCGGCAGGGCCTCGTCCCGCGCCAGCACTTTCTCCAAGTACCCCACTGCCGCGTGCACGTACTCTTTGCGCATGCGCAGATGCGTTTCCCCGACTTCGGCCATCCAGTCCACGAGCACGCGCCGGTACTTGAGGTACTCGTACTCGCGGCCAAAGTCCGGTCGCACGAGCTCTTGGCGCAGCATTGCACCGTACGTGCTGTCTCCGTCGCGGTCTTCGAGCGCCACGAGCTGCAAGAAAAAACAACGACACCCACGCACACGCACACATACACACCGTAAAGAAAAGCAGAAAAAAACACGTTATTGATAAAACCCAACACATTAGCCAAAAAAAAGCACACACAAAAAACCTCAACCCCAACGACCCCAAAAGGACGTCGAGCAGAAGGCACCACAAGACGTGAACAACAATAGACCGACCGACCGACCGACCGACTGACACACACACACACACGTACGCTCTGCATCTCGACCGACAGCTCAGTCGTCCAGGGCGCGTCGCCGAGCCCGAACCCGTGCGTCTGGCCAGGGTCGGACTCTTGCGTGCTCAGCAGATCGTCGTCGTCGTCCAGCACTTCGTCGCACTCGAGACACTGCGCTTCCCACTCCATCGCGAGCGAGCGAGCGATCGACCGATCGATCCGTTTTCAATAGAGAGAGAAATAGAGAAATAGAGAAGTGGGGAAGAAGAAGAAGGCGAAGAAGAGAGACGACCGACGGGACAATGAAAGGGGTGTGGCCGTCGACAGAGGCAGCGGGTGGTGGCGTTTGTGCGCCCCGTGCGGCTGTGTATCTTGTCGTGTGTTGGTGTCGCGACGGCCGGAAAGCTCAAATGTGTTGGACGATAGCAATGCACTGCACCTCTCTCAATTGTTGTTGTTGTTGTTGTTGTTGTTGCTGCTGCTGCTATGTGAGACTGTTGCATACGAAACTCAAGTGAACGCAGGGCCCGTTTCTGGCCGGACCCTGCGTGGGTTTCGACGTCCTGTGGGTTTCGAGGGGCCGACGGAAGACGGACGGGACCGCTAAAAAAGGCCGCGAGGGCCATAACAACTGGCGCAGGTCCACTTGTGGCTCCTGTGGTCCATTTTTTTTGTTTGAGGAGGAGGAGGAGGAGGAAGAGAAAGGGACGTGCGCTTCCATTTGTGCTTTTTACAAATGTAGTGAGCGAATAGAGCACGTGGCGGCTCTGTCGTTCGCGGCGGATTAGCTTTTTTTCTTTCTCTCTTTTTCTCTTTCTTTCTTTCTGTGTCGTCATGCAACCAGTCAGACTGTGGGCACACCAAATCTTCCATTGACTCGCGTCGCGAAGATTTGTTTGCGTGACGGGGCTCGCTCGACTTTAGACTCTTTTCGCCTTTCACTCTTTAGCAGCAAGTTGCACTCAACACGCGCGCCCATAGAGCAGCACTCGGGACGTCAGCTTTTCTCCGTCAGTTGCTTCGACTCTTGTACTTTATCCTTTGGCCCGTTGTTCGACAACACAGAGCGTGGCCCTCACAAGCTTTTGAAGCAGCAGTTGCCGCCGCAGTTGATTTATCAATGCAGTACACGCGTTGCCAATGTGTTTGAAACCAAAGACGTCTGCTTGTACATGCTCCAGAGCATTAACGTATCGTCGAATTACAAAGTGTCTTGAGCACTTACCCACGCTATGATCCTGTCGGTATAAACGTACAAGACTTGACGTAAGCCTGATGCTGACAAAAGAGCGTACCAGGATTTGGCCCAAGGTGTTCATCTAGTTGTACCACACAGATGTGGAACGTCGATGTGGAGGTGATGCCGGGAAGGCGGTGCGCTTGTGTGTTAGCAACGGCATTCACAGCTCTTCCTTGCAAGCCTCGACTACCTCCCACATTGCAAGCATCGAACGTGTCAAAGCATGTAGCCACGTTACGGTTGCCTTCTATTTTCGAGTTCTATGGCACGATCAAGAAGACCACCTACACCAGGACGAATGGTCCAGGGAACAGGCATAGAATCGACTCGATAACCAGACAGTTTGGCTGCGCACTTATCTACGTGCCGCTTGAGCTTTCGCACGACAAAGTGCGATTGAGTTTCACGACTGCAACTCTCGTGTCAGTCCCCAGCATTTCGTCTATCGACAGTGACACTGGGCCTTGACTAAAGTCGAGATGTCGTTGCAGTACCTGTAGCTCGCATCAACGGACACGTCACTGACACTTCTACGACGATATCTCGATACCCGTGACAAAACGCGAGTGTCGTCGAGATCGCATGCGCCCTCACTAGCGACGAAAGGTGCACCCGAAGCCTCTCCGTGGAGGTGCAGCATCGCATCTGCAGTCCACATGCAGCAAAAGCTGCTCCCTATCAGTACTTCACCTGACAATCACAATAAAGTAATGCCTCAATCACTCGTTTAGCCTCAAAGCTGCTTCGAGCTGTAGCGCTTTGGACACGGCCTTCGCGTCGTATGGGGGGAGTACCGTAGAGCCGAACCGTGCGATTGTGGCCTAAGCGTGGTACAGTGGCGTGTAGCCATCACGTAGCGTAACCCCCAACAAGCAACATCGTTGTTGTTGATTCTCAGACGAAGAACAGCGTACCCACCAGATCGACCTTCGCTTGGCTTCTGCGTAGCTGACCATACACTGGAAAGCACGAACGATAGCAGGGCGACGTGTCACCTGTTTCGCCAAGGAATCGAACTTAAGAGACACACCCTCGCACCTGCAAAGATACCCATACACAGCTGATGGTATCTTGATCCAAACATAACTACTCCATGTACAGCGTGCTCGAGTTATACGTCATGCGCAAAACCGCACAACGTCCTCAAGCGCTTTGACGGCCTTCAACGTGTGCTGTAGTGTCGACTTGTAGTACATACGTTCCGCCATTCCCGTGTGAGCGAAACGCACTGTACAAAACTGATATCGAATGCAACGTGAGTCCATTTTCGAAGCTGGTGCGCACTCGCACTCGCATTCTGTGGACCGCTCGATCCACTCCGAGACGGAAAAAGCTGTTGCTGCGAGTGTGGGTGTGTCTGTCTGTCTGTCTGTGCTTTGTTTGCGCTGACCGTGGAAATGGCTACAGGTAATCAATCGTCCACGACGGGTGGTGGTACGCCCTGACTTTGTGTGGTGCACCGGAGAAAACGTGACCCCCCTCCTTTGAATCGTGCCATTCATTGGCCCCTCTTTCTGCGCGTGTGGAGGACCAGTCATTTGCATGCATTAAAGCTATGCACAGACTGATTTCCGCTCCTCTGCTTAAACCGATTCAGTTCCCTCTTCCCTGACGCACCATGTCCTTCGGCGACCTGAGCAAGACCCAACGCGATGAATTGGCGGCCTCGCTGGCCGTACTAGCGCTCCACGACGCCGGTGTCGAGATCACGGCCGACGCGCTGTCCAAGACGTTCGAAGCGTCGGGCAACGACGTGGCTGCGTACGTTGCGCCGCTGTTTGCGGACCTTTTGGGCCGCGGTCTGGACGTGGAGAAGTTCTTGGCGGGTCCTTCAGCAGGTGCGCTTTTGTCGGATCGCTTGCTGCTATCCGTTGGGCAGTCAGTTGTTTGGTCTCTTTTTGACTGACCGGTTTTGTCCACTACTGATGGCTTTAGGTGCTGCTCCTGCTGCTGGCGGTGCCCCTGCTGCTGGAGCCGGTGCTGCAAAGGTAGAGGAGAAGGTCGTGGAGGAGGAAGAGGAAGTCGACATGGGCGGCGGCATGGACATGTTTGGCGCGGAAGAAGACTATTAGACGTGGTATGTCTGGAAGGGACTCGAGGTGGTCGTGTTGTCGAGGGGCAGACGTGCTAGAGGACACGTCAACGTGGGCGAAGGTGCCAGTCTAGTCAGTGGTTGTTGCGTCATCCATCTTGTGGTGATTTACCATGTAACTGCAAATACAAACGAGAGCTGGACGAGTACATGCTGGACGTGTGCTGCTACTAGCGTCTGTTTGATCGCTGGGTTAGGTCATGATGGTCTTGCTGTGAAAAGTGCGTGGCCGCTTGGACGGTGTCCTGGTCGATCTTGCGGAGGAGTGTCACACATCTTGGCTTGCAAGGTGGGTAGGCTACGAGGATGGAAGAGTCATGTTTCTGCAGGTGTTGTAGTCACAGGTCTCGGTGATAGCAATTGCAGTCGATTCACATCCAGGAAAAGAAAAAAGTGAATTTACGAGAGTACAGGTAAAAGTGTACTACAAAGTAAAAGTGCATTGTGAGAAAGTATTTATGATGATACCGCAAAACAAAAACACAAAAACATGCCAACAATCATAGACTGAGGTAGAAAATAACGAAAGCTGCCTCAGAAATGAAAAAGTTGACGAAGCTCGAAATAATGGAGAATTGGAAGATCACTTACCGATCAAAAGTAGGAAAATGCACCAACAGTGTATACTATACGACCGAATATACAAACGCCCAGCATCCCTTGTACATATCATCTACGTGTATCTTGTTCGTGCCCGCTTTTGCTTGAAAATGCAAAATTCTTTGCGACTTCTGCAGTCGACCATTTTGTTGCGAGACGAATCAGGTGTGTGACCCTACGAGGTAGCCCCGCATACCGCCTACGTTTCGTATGTAAGGTCGCCTGGCTCATGCTCTTTCCACCCAAATTTGCCTGGTTCGACTTTGTATCGATATGAAGCTGTTGCCTCGGTAATGTCATTAAGTTTTGGTGAAAACAGACAGCGCGATCACTAGACGACAAACGCCCACTGGACAGCTGACAGAATTGTTTTACGCTATGGCAAGGAGTCATGCAGATGCTTCCGGATAGGCAAAGTGGACCGTGTGAGAGACAAGTGAATGTCTTGAGAAAAAGACACTGGTGACAGACTCCTATATTGCCCCTCCCCAAACGCGATTTGGCTTTCCGCCGGGGTCCTTGTTAGTGACTGTATCAATTGAATAGGTATTTTATCTCCATCCTGCGCTATCCGGCCCGACCAAAAACCTTCCAGAGCTTGGTGCAGCTACACATCTACCACGTCATGACTATTACATCTGGATACCCGGGCGTCGACCAGGAAGTATTTTTTTACCACGACAGTTTCATCATCAATTCGACGCACGAACAAAGCGCGCAATGCTGATGTCATGTTGTGGTAGTTATAAAGAAGAATCTGCTTTTAGTGCTAGTGTAATTAGCATTTTTTGTAAATTGTAGTTTGGGTCCTACGAAGATAGGCGCAATGCTGATATCTGCAGTGCAAGACATGATGCACAGAAGCCCAGGTACATTGATCATCATTATCCTCAGCGTACATGTATTCTAGTGCTGCACACACTTCATAACGCTGCGATCTTGGCAAATGTAGCAAAGATTTGCCAGTTCCTTACCAGAGGAAAACTCAAGCTCAAAGAGACACTTAAATGTAGAGCAAGAACGCGACGCGACTGATCTACTAGTCAAAATAACAACACCACGAGGTGAGCACTTCGTGCTGCCGTTCTACAAATCGTAGGTCCCTTGGACCAGGACTAGAAGCTCTGTTCGCTGGTGGACGCTTCAAATCGTGATCCCAGAACCAATTGCTTGTTCTCCATACTAGTATACTCTTTGGTGAGTAGCTTGTGGAACTTGTTGATTCGTTGAGTCGTCATTAGTTTACAAACTAAGTGTATAATTGAGCTTTAGCCTTTCACTGAAAACGAGCTAGTATAGCTCTGCTACAGAATTAGTAAGCCTGCGATATGCTTGAGCTTGCTTCCTTGTTCAGCCGAATATAGTACAATGCTCCACATTTCAGCAGGTTTGTCGTTCGGGAGTCTGCGTATAGACGCATCGCAATCAGTCCTCGACGTTCAAGCATGAGAAGCAAGACCTGTGTACCAGATGGCTTCAGTATTATTTGGCCGCCAAAATCTGTGCATGCTGTAGACTACCTACGCCGGCGATAACAGTGGCGAGTGGTCAACAAGAAGTGGCCTTGCTATTTGCTGAATCAAGACCATTGGAAAATGACTAAAACCTTAACTCAATCCGTACGATGTTTACATTCATCTGCGAAAGCGAACGCGCTCATTGCTTTGCATCTAGTGAATACGAATTGTAACGGGATATCCCTGTTACACAATGTTGACAAGGCAGAGAAGGTCGATGTACATTTCATCTGCACAGATGATACACAGGAATATCATTGTTGCGCATCATATTCTTCATAGCTGGTGATACACTACTTATTCTATCACATAGGCGATGACATGAGATGATGAAACCACCAATCGCTGCTGCACGAGCGCAACGAGTGGGCTGAGCAAGGTGTCAACACACGTGTTTGTAGTTCAATCGAGTTATAAGTAGGATTGCAAAGGACGTTCTTTTAGTAATCTGACTGTAAATACTGTTTCGTGTTTACTTTTGACTGAGCGTTATCGTTTAGTTGAGCGTGGTTCCTGTATACAGTCCGCGTGTGTGACATTTCGGAGTATCTATCCACGCTGTCATCGGTGCGGGTAACTCATACTCGTGTCAGTACAAGCTTGGGGTGCCCGGTTACACGAACCATGTAATAGGTAACATCACCTGTTTAACGACCCGCGACCAATTCGGTAAAGGGTTTGTTCAAGCTGATTGAACGCGACTTTGCTATCGCAAAGACAAACGCAAATGGAACTCATGATCGTAGTCGATGTGTGTTGAAAATGGAAATGAGTACTGCTCTTTGAGAATAGACGTGAAACGGGTAACTAGTCTCTTCACTGTGATTGAGACTATGAGACAGCAAGCAAAACACACTTGTTCTCGATCAGGCTTATCTTTCTGCGTCAGATGGCCGCTTCATCCTCGAGAGCTGCTCCTAGATCGCACAGCATGTACGAGAGGAGAAGCAGTATCAAGAAGTAACTCGATCAGAAAGGTGCTTGCTATACCTGGCAGATCTCGATCGAATCAGCACGTGTTGTGCATGCGATCGATATGCTGGAAGATGGTAGTGCCTTTCAGCTTGCGTCGATGAGGTTAGTTTCGACATGGATTGCAAGGCTACGTAGTAGATGTGTTGTATAAGAAAGGACTGTGCTGCTAAGCAGTTACCACTTGATGAACGGTCAGAAACACTGTGTCTGCTCGCCCAGAAGCCATGGAGGATTGATCCTCTTGGTTGTCTTCTATCTGTACAGTGACATTCATGATATATAGTGGTAACCTGGACGTGGTACTGGGGATGCCGTGATGGCTGTCACGTAAGACTGTCAGCCGTCTTTCGAGAGCTCACGAATCGTAATGGCTGAATGCTTTTACGATGTGGTCGATCACCGAAACGTGCTTTACCAGCCTTACGCAAAAATAAAATTGACCTGAACGATCGGTACATCGGGCTTTGGCGCGAGCAAATAGTTCTTGGCTTTGGGAAGTATCTGCAAACATCGACATGCGATACTTGGGCGAAGGAACGTAATCGTACGATAGACACTGGATGCTTTGCTTGCAGCTCTCTAGTCTTGACTCGCTGGTGACGTTTTGACCATTGGCTTTTGTAACTCGGGGTAGAATGTGCACAGTGGACAATACTGACACGAGTATCGACGGTCGTCGGACACGTTTTGCGTGATCGACTACTACGCTACAGTACTAATTGTGAGCTGTGCAGCTAACGATACAAAAAGTAAAACCCCACTCCGTGCAATCAATCAGAAGGGCCCAGCAAGCCAAATCGATTTAGTAACCATTCCCTTGTGTGCAGGTCAGCAGTAGTTTTTTTGCCGGTTGCACCGCTTTCATCCTCGTACCTTTTCGCAATTTGAGACTTGTCAACGAGACGCCTTCGATCAAACAAGCTCTCGGCGCGCATACTTTCCTTCGTCCATGAACTCTACGGCCACAGTTCGATTCGAAAATCCACGACCGTGCAGCTCCGTCGCGGCATTCTGGGCTGCCTGCACATCACTGAACTCAACAAACACCTTGCCGACGGCACTGGGGATGCCATCACGCGGGCGTGGCAGTAACAGCGACGGCACGGCGCCAAACTGCTCGCATTCGCCCTTGATGTCGTCGAGAATGTCAGTATACTCTTCCTCATCCTCAAGCTCTTCCGGCGTCACCATGTTAAGCAGTATGATGACGCGAGAGGGGTTGCCCAGCGGCACACTCGGTATGCCTGCCATGGTAATGGCCTGCATTGCAGCGAGTGACGGATCCAGACCCATTTCCAGGCCCGTGTTAACTGTACCAGCAGCACTGGCGACAGCCTTCGCATTCTCTTGGGACATCGCTCGACGTACTGTAAGAGTCTTGTCACCAAGCCGCATATCGTTCAGCCCAATGCATGCTGCATCTGTCACGTTAATGTCCATGTACTCGCAGAACCCATAGCCTTTCGACAAGTTGGAACTGAGCTCTTTGACAAGATGGAATGACCGCAGCGGGCCAAACGCTTGCAGCAACTCCTTTACCTGTTCCTCGTTAAGGTGGTACGGCAGACCACCGATGAAAATCTTGCCCGGGCCGTCGCTCACTGTGGTAGACACAATACCAAGAGCAGCCAAATTGAGCTGCGGAATGGGTCCTAGCTCCTTAGGAACAGTAGCCGGGTTATAATCGTTCGGCCGACGGATCTTCAGCGGTTGACCGTTGTACGACACGCCATCGAGGTTCATGCAGGCCGTCGTAAGCTCAATCGTGCGCAGCTCCACAAAAGCAAAGTGACGCTCGCGGTTTATGTAGACCGACACCACCGAGCCGCCTTCCTGTCTCTCGCCCAGCGCACGGTCAATGACGTCGTTGAAGAACACGGTGATCTCAGGCTCCGAGATTTCGCCAATGCCGCCAACATACAGCCGGCGCGCATGCCGCGTCAGCTGGGACTGGCCCGAGAATCCGTACGCAGTGTTGGCTTGATGCATATGTGGGTACACTGGTTGCACTGGCGGGGCATTCTAAACAATCGAGAAAAAAGCACAACAAGTTAGACGACGTGCGAGCATTTGTCGCGCTATGTTCCAGTGCTGCTCTAGTGCAGTGCGCTGCTGCCACGAAAGCAAGCAAGCAAGCACCACGACGGACAGACAACGGATAACGAAACACACAACGACATCGCGTCAGCCGTTGTATCTCTCCGTGCTGTTGATGGCCGCCGTACGTGTGCGCCACAAACACACGCCCCATGCAAACTACAATCCATCAGAACACCACAAGCAGAACACAGTTTGCGCACCCGAATGGGCATTGAGGCAGCCTGCGGCGGGACACCAAACGACGCCGAGTCCACGGATCCAGACAGCGCTGCCATGTTTTGCTGCAAAATCGCCTGTGCGGCAAACGCGGCCGCATTCTCTTCGGTCACTCCTGGCGGGCGAACGTCAAAGTTCGATTTCTTGCGGCGACGCACCACGTGCGACGACGACCGCGAGCGACTGCGTCTCGACGAGCGTCGCTCGGATCGCTCGCGGCTGCGACTGCGACGATCGCGAGACGACCGGTGCCGCGACGAGCGCCGTTCCTTGCTACGGCTGCGGTCTCGACGGTGCGACGAGCGCGAGCGACTGTGGCGACTGCTGCGACGCGAACTGCGGCGTCGGTCGTCGTCCGCGTGCTTGAGATCAGAGCCGTCCGCGAGTCGCGGCTATAGCCACAAACCAAACCAAACCGAGAAGACGCCATACGGTCCGTCCAAAACGTCAGTCGCTGGACAGAAAACGAGCACATGAACACACTCCAATTGTACTCCTACCGGGGCGTCAGCAAACTGCGACGGCGCGGACGGCGGCATCTGCTCGTACTGATGATGAGAAGGCGGCGGCGGGTACGCGCTGCCGTGTGGAGGAGGCGCGAAGGAACTCGCTGAAGCAGGTGCGTCGACCTGATACTGCTGCTGCTGCTGTTGCAGCTGCTGCTTCTTCATCCACGCAGGCATCGTGAGCTCGCGTCCTCGTCCGGCCATCGTCCCCTGACAAGTTGTGGCGGCGGGCGCTGTGCGAATGTCCACCACTAGCGGTCCCTGTAAAATACGCGCGGGCGAAACCTCCGGTTCAACATGCGTCTGGTAAAACGTATGTGAGCGAGAGAGCCTGGCCAATCGAATGCGGAAATATAACGGAGCGACGTCTCAGAACGAGGGGCCTTGCTGTGTGGCGACTTGAAAATTACCCTGGTATTCTATCGTGGATGTACGTGATGCAAAACGTAATACAAAGTAGAATGTAATTCGCGAGAATAAAAAACGACGGCAAGAAGAGAAAATAAAATGCAGCACCACAAGATGGAAAAAGATGCTGCGTAAACTAATCGTGCAATGACGAGACTGTGGCAACGATGTACACTACACGCTCAAACATACACATTCTCAAGACCACATACACGGAGATCGATCCTGTCATTTTGTCAATGGTATGCGTACACGCAAAGTGGGGATGAAATCGTCAAGTACGACGACCAATATCAACATCAACAACAGTCTCTTATCTACTGCCTCGAACTTGGCGATGTCAATATACAACTTCACGGACGACGCATGTACGTTGGTCCAGCAACAGAGTGGATGTTTGCTGCTGTTCAGCATTTTAAACTGCTGCGTACCTGTTTTTTCCGGCATATATCCTTGCTGATCGTCTTGGTGGTAAAGTAAGGTCAGCTTTTGTCAGCCGCGCCAAGTTCATGTTGGATGAACTTGGCGGTCGTAACATGCTGCTCGTCTCTGGTCGCTCCTCAGGACATCAAAAGGCGCTGATAGCTGGTCCATCGACTGTCGAGATCATTCATTCGACCGAGTTCAATTCAAGATCAATCAAATGATAAAACAATTCACACGTAGCCATAATCTATACTCACCCAAACAAAGTCCATGGCGGATGGACCCGTGATCGTTTGACAGATCTTAACTGATGCAGTCGTAACGGGGCACCCTACGTTTAAACTGATGACAGTACAAGCTACCTAAACTGATGCCATTATAAACTTATAAAAGTAATGACAGTATCATGTACATCATCAGGTGGCAGTGTAGATCTGATGCCCCGAAATCTCAAGTGCACGGCAACGTGCAGAGGAAACGCGGTCAACTGAACTAGACGAGCTCCATAATGCACGAGTGGCATTGATCGATGGCTTTGTTGTCGAAAAAAAGGGCCAGCGTCAGCCAACGAGCAGTGTGTTGTTGTTGACATCTGCCGAATATTACCTTTAACAGTCATATTACCTTCCGCGGTTATATTCCTCCAAGTTTGCCTTCCGCGGTAGAATTGTCTCAATATTACCTTTTCGTTTAGTGTTGTTGATTACTTTCCGCGAAAGTAATATTCACATTGACATCCAAATTCATGTCAATACCATGTCGACGGAGCGGTGTCCCTCTACATTACCAGATCTTCCTTACTGCTAGTGGGAAGCGCTATGGTACGATAAGTCCCTCCTAGTCGTGTTCATACACTCACGTTGCGCAGACCATACGGCGCCAGCATAACGGGGACTGATTGGTAGATTTACGGTCCGGAATGGTAGTGGAAGCAGTGTTGACGGCTGTGACGTTGGGAGACAATCCATTTGACCGACGTCTCGTGGCGAGCAGCAGCGACAAATTGTACTGACTCGTGCGCATACTAATTGCTATGGCAATGTTCAGCCCACACGACACCGATGTAAGAGAAAGTCAACTACATATTGTTTCGTGTGCCGTTAACGTTGCTATCGTAGGCGACACGAGTATGTAGCACGCGCCGGGCAGAAGAAGCATGGCAAACGTGAATACCAGAAATCTCGCGTCTCGTCGCTCGTACTACAAGAGATGTCGAGTACAGGACGCTTCGTTTTCCATGCCAATTACCGCGCGGTCTTTTTGTGCAAAACCGACGCTAGTGATGCGAAGTTACCACATCGTATAGAACGTCAGCGCACCAGCGTAAGAGCGCTTTCTGCTTCTGTTGCTATCAGCGTGTTACTGCAGTAAAGTCCAAACCGGTTGCTGAATATCCGACGTGCTATCTGTCGCAATTGCCTCAAGCTTCACGCTACCGACGATGTCACCTCTGGTGCTCAACGTCAAAACGAAAGCAGTAGCACCGAACCGTGCGACGTCTTCCGTACAACCAGCGCAAATCGCAGGGTATTACGACTGCAAACCCAAGAGGAAGCAATCAATCCGCCACAGAGTACAACTTCTGGGTCTGTGTCGTGCAAGTCGCCAAGTAGCAAAACGTTCGATGGTGACATCCGCGATCTGCGTCGTCGAGGAAGGCAGATATTCGTGTACCCGATCAACTGACTCGAGCGTTTTTACTGCCCAGTTGACCTCGCTTTCGTTGTGGTGGGATCTACACGCCATTCTCTTTGTCATCCGATTGTAGTGTGCACTGTGATCTCGAACCACCTGTGCCTCGACGTTATTTCACAAAATTCGCCAAGATTCATGGTGAAAGATAGTCCACATGCTTGCAAGGTGTGATGCAACGGTGCTTTCGAACAGCGAGTGCTGCTCATGCTAAGCTGTGACTATGAACACTCGCCTTACCACATTTCCATAGCAAGTGGCCCGGTCGCAACGAGTAAAAATGCCGCACGTCGATCGATGAGCCAGGTTAGCGGACGGTAGACGTGCGATGGCACGCAATGAGAAAACAACACATGCTGGGAGGTTATGTGAGCAAACACAGAGCGTCTTCGGCTGTGCTAAATGTGGCTTGGGATCAAGCTTGCAGTGACATATTGTTTCACTCTTTCCACTGATGGGAGGAATCGAAGCCGGACGTGGCTGGAGATCGAGGAAGTAGGATTTAGCCAAACGATAGTATTGTGTGCGAGGTCGGAGACGGCAACTTCGATACGCAGGTGAAACACAAAGCAATAAGGATCCGGTCGATCAGCACAGCGGTGGTAAGGCTACGCATGACCAAGTCCATTGGTAGCTTGTCATTTCGTCAAAAATGGAGACGTTTGGAAGCAAGACAGCACGTGACATGTGTGCCGGGAAAGTCGATAGGCCAACACAGAAACTGCACCCGTCGAGTCCACGCAAATCTGAACTACATCGGGTCACGTTTTACAACTTCAGTATTTGCAGTTCTACAAGACAACTTTTGCATGTTTTACAAGCACTTTGTGCTCGAACTATCGTGCAAAGAAAGCTAGATGCGAAGGAAGAAAGGTGATGGTTAAAGAGGTCGTACGATACTGTAAAAAGCAGCTAGAAACACTTGCTTGCTTGTTGGTACAAGTAGCATTCTCCGCAGTCGTTTGCTGAGTATTTTGGAAAGCTCATCGTGACCTGTGGTTTGCACCATTGCGTCGACCAATAATCGAAAACGACCAGAGGTGATGATACCTTTTACTCCCGTAGAATCGTATCAACGAGTCAGCGTGTGGCAGATGTATAGCAGACGCTCAAGATGAAGAGCTTTTTGCGAGGGATGTGGCACTCGCTCCGACAAGTCGTGCGTGACGCGAAAGTCACAAGTCAAAGTATGCCCAGTTCTGTCGATAGTAGTAACGAAGCTACAGAAACATATTGTGCACGAACTCAGCACTACGCTAACAAGAATGGTAGCGAAACAGGCGCAGTGTATTCAATAAAAGTCAGCTGCGTCTACACCCACACGCGCGATGCTGCCTGGACGTGATCGCGCTTGTGCTTGCGCAGCACATACACGTTTGACGTCGTGCCATGATGTCGACTGCTTGTAAGTCATAGGCCACCATTGCCATTCTCCGTGACAGTTCAGAAAGAGTCACAACGCCTCAAGATCAACCAACGAGACAAGTGGAATCGCAAAAGTGATAAAATCATGAAATGGAAGGGCTACACTGTCTACATTGTGACTTCGCCACTAAAAGGGCAGCAAAATGTTCGGAGCAGAAGCGCGCAGATGCCGGTTGAAAACTAGCGGGCTCGTTAAGCGCTGGAGTCCAGATCTGCGTGGTAAGCGTTAGCCAGGTTGAATCTGAAGACGTCATCGGCCAGGGGCATCAGCCGGTCTTTGTTCCATCTGGCATTGTTGAGCGCGCATTGGGCCTCGGGAGTCATCTGGTGCCACATGATCAGGGGTTGACTTTCACCATCTTTGTCAGACAATTCGATGTAGTGTCGGTTGTCCTCGATGTCGTACTCGAATTTGGGGCCATTCGGGCTCATTTGATCAGCCTCGATGCGCTCCGTTCTCGTCTGCCCGTCAGACTCCACCGTCGTCACTGCTTTCAGTATCGGCGTGGAAACACTGGGGTTGTTGATCCACACGACAACCCATTCCCAGTCGTAGCGGTGGCCTATACCCGGACTCACCGAGTCTTTCGGAAAGAACCAGGCGAATATCATGCCCCATTGGTCGTCGTACCAGTCTGCGCGCGCGTAGATCTGGCTCCCGAGCGGAGGTTTCTTGCACCTGCCGTCAGGGGGCCCCGTCGGCTTTAGACCACTGCTGGTGTTTCCCTGTGCGTTCACCGCAGGGTACGGGTGGCATCCGTGCTCGATGTAGAGCGTCGGTTTGAACTGGATGGCCGCGATCTCGGAAGCGGTCGTAGGCTTCGGCTCAGGGAACGGTTGCAGAAGGTCGTGGTTGGCCCGGTCGGCCATTCTGCATTGTTCCGACTTCGCCAGGGGCACAGCTGCGAGCGCAGCAGCACACAGGAAAGCGAAGGTCTTCATAATTGGGAGTCGTTGCTGAGTGTCTTCGAGCGGACGAATTGCAAAGTGAGCAGCTCTTGCACTGCGGATGGAAAACACGCAACCGCTTCAAACGGACGATCGCCTAACGCAAGGCACTCTCTTCTCCCATGTGTTTCTCTGTACCCAAATACCGTATGGTTTTCACGAACGGCCCATTGCTCCGAACGTGACAGGAAAAAGCCTTTTTGCGCATCCAGGAGCGAAAACCGTGCTCGGCAGTTGAGACATGTGGCAGGTCGTAGAAAAAGGCCGCCGACGACGAGCAGCAAGTCCCTCGGCCAATAGAATTCAAGGAAAGCAGCCCGTCACGAGGTAGATTACTCGCGCTTGGAGCGCCGCATCCCTCTGCCGCTCGCAGAGAGTGTCCTGCGTCGCAGAAAGGATCGCTCGTGTACAGTGCACGCGGTACATGGAGTTGCAAGGTGCAACTCCTGGCGCCCGATGCCTTCTGTGGGCCCTCCTGGAATTGGTCACCTGCGCCCTTTGTGGAGTTTTCCACGTAACACCTGACGTCTTCATAGCCATTCAAAGTGGCGAGCGAGGCGACGGACGACGTGGTCACGATCGATGACCCCGGCGGATGTCCACGCCGAGATTGGAACATGTCGTTCGGATGTCTGCTAGAGACTGTCTGGTCGGTTTACTCCGCACACGGAGTTGCAGTAGCATGCTACACATCCCTAAAGGGGATTGATCATGTGATGTGTAGCTCGCTCTCTGCAGCACATGCGGTTGCAAACGCACATTTCTCATCACAAGAGACGATGGCTCATGTAAAGAACGAGCGCGTTTTGCATATCGTGGGGTTGCAGTATCCGTTCTTCCACTACAAAACTCGATCGTGCACATGAAGTGGAATGTACTATCTGCTAGCAGTAGATGGCGCCGGCGCTTGTACGTAGACTGCCTCGCGCATAGAGGATTTGGGCACGTATACCAAGAAGTGCGGGTCGTTTGAACGAGATCGCTACAAAGCTTTACACAAACACGCGAGCATGTAATGAGTAAAATTCGTATCGAAGTGACCGACTTGCATGAAGACTTGTACAACAGGTGTAACTGCCCGATGCGACAAGAATCTGGTGTAGATGCACGCATCGTGAGCGGACCTGATCGCCGGCTCGGTATACGACTTCTCAACAGTTAGCCCATTGCAGACACGATTCGCCGATTGCACAGCTGAGAGGATTGTTTCGTAGTCTCTCCACCTAATGTATTGAGAGAGAAAAGCAGACGTGTCTATTTGACCGTTTGCTGGTTGCAGGATGTCCGATATAGCTTTAGCGCCTGATTAGCAACGCCGGTACCTCGTTCGAGTCCGGTGGTTGTACGGGGCTGGTCACCGCATGTGACGGCCCTCTTGGGTGCCTGGCTAGTTGGCGCAGACATAACAGTAGGCGTGCTCCTCGAATCTTGGTCTCGTCCCTGCGGAACTCTCGCTTCGCTACTGCTCGAATTTGCCGGAGGCTTGTTTGCCAGAATTCCTCGACGCTTCCTGCAAGAGTTACCTCTTCGCGTGAAAATAACGCGATTACGTTAGACCCACAAAGCGGTTGTGCAAATGCTGCTTAGCAGTCGCTATAGCCTCTGCCCGACCAGCGCACAGTCGCTCTCTTCGTCTGGATGATCTCGCACTGGACAATTCGAAGGTTTAACTTTTCACTGCCGGGTGGGTATTGAATAGGTGGCCTCTGGGATGTGGCTGCCACACATACCCACTTGAGCTACAGTATGGCATCTCCACCTAATATATTGTCAAACGCTCAGAGGATGTATCTGCTCGAGCCCGCGCATGCACCGCTGTAAAAGCGTCGATCAGGCCAGTACAACTCAACGGCAATGTCGATGCAGCCAGTACACTCCTGCGTCGCAGTGTCGATCGAGGCATACAACTCAACGGCAGTGTCGATACAACCAGTACATCAGTGTCGGTCGGGCATACGACGGTACGGCAGTGCCATCCAGACACAACGAGCGGTACGTAGCGTCGATCGAAACAACGAAAGGTTTTGGTACGCAGCTTGCATTTGATACAGGAGTGCAGGGCAAGCTCTGGTGGTCGCCCTCTTCTTATACAGGAAAGCTAGTCTACACAACAGAATCAAGTGGAAGATGTATTGAAGCACTCATTCCCGATAGTCTGACTTTGCAGCTAGCGATGGGTTGTGTGTAGTGATGCCGTGTTTGTTGTACGATGGTTCATCTCGCTGGTGTTGTTGATGTGTTGCGCCAATGAAAAGAACAAACAGAAACGATGGCTGATCTTGCCAGTGTGCATCGACAACGGCAACAACAGCATGAGGCCGGCGGGATGACATTAGGAGATGAGGAGGAGAATACAGGTAAGCTTTTTCTGCCGTCAAGCGGGAAGCTAGCCGTTGATTACGATTCCTCTTCCACTTGCTCTGGAGAATGGAGGCGTTAGGCATATCAATGTTGCCTACATAACTTATGCATGTGAACGCGTTATGCGAACCGTCTTGCCACCAAAGTGGCTCAACTGTGCATGCGTCGGGTTATCTCTCCTTCTCTACAGTTCTCTCTACTCTCGTCAGGGTTTAGTAAGCGGCGCGCTATAAGCGCCGTGCTGAAGGCCTTCCAGGCTGCACGATCCTGTGCACCTTGGCAAAGGAAGTACTAGTTTGGGGCCAGTCGACGACGGTGTCCAGCGATAGGTCTCTTGCTTCGATCCCTTGGATGCCTATCTTTACCAACAGGTCCCTTGTTGCTTGCACCGCGAACAAAGGATGACGCGAGTGTACCTAACCGGAGATGCCGGGACTTCAAAACGTCCGGCGTGGCGGCTGGGGGGAGAGCGGCCAAAGAGATGTGTGTAGAGGGATAGGATCCTGTCCATAACTGACGGATGTCGCGAAGCACTTGTCGAAGGCCTGAGCCAGCATCAGCTCGCTCAAGCCTTCCGGTTGCCTACATAAGTGCGACTCTATTGTTTGACGATAGGGGAGTGATTGCATGACTGTGTAAGATGCTACCATAACCATCACAGCAAATCTAATTTGTCTTTAGTGTCTCAAATATAGGCTTGGCCATTTCCCCTCATCAGCTTGTACCCCGATCACTTGCGTGCGTGTCGGCGTCTGCAATCCACTTTTGCTGCCCTATCATTATCTTTCGCGCACTCACTTATAGCATCCCCTTTGGTCTTGCAGTGCCCACCGCAACACATCGAGTTAGTCTCAGTCGCTACATGTCCGTTTGCGCGGACTCGATACAGTGTAAATGCTCGCCCCAATCATCTCTTCATCATAGTTCTATCACACAATGTCAACCACATTAACCAGCTAAATATTGCGTTTTTACAATTCTGCCAAAAAAGTAGATATCGCCGACAGCAATACTGCTCAATCGAAGAAACTCCGTAAATGCCGAGCATTTCTGCTCCTATTGAGTCCATACTGGATAGCAGGAATAATACATATAAATAGTCGCAACCAGATGACTGCTTTCTACTTCTTTGCACATGCCCCTATATGATTGGAAATACATTCTGAGTGAAATTGCGGGTAATACCATCGACAGGATTTTTTTGCACTATAAGTGCCAACATTGTAACGGGGTTACACAACAGGTGTTTGTGTAACAGGTTACATAACTGTGTGGTACACAAAGGACGGAGTCCCATTAAAAAATGATAATCGAACACCATATCAATTGTCGGGGCTGACGTGCGTCAACCACTGAAAGAATAAATCTTTGAGGAGGTATTCAATAGTACAGTAGTGACTAGGTTAAGCACGTTGTTCTGAGGTGTTCTTTTATATAAACAGAAATAAAGTTCAGTTCCCATTTTGATCACTTAAGACACGTGCCTTACGAGGCGTCTTTGATCGGTAAGAGCTAGCAACGCCTGTAAAGGTAGCTACTCTTGAGAACTCTGTGCTGTGATTCTCTTGAATTGTTCGTTCCCCTGGAACAGGAACCGTAAGCTCTCTGAGCTTTTTTAATCTCAGAGTCGGGTTCTCTCCACCAAAGTTGCTCGTTGAGCGCTAAGTCTTCCTCTGACTTAAGGATCTGTTTAGCTCCTCTATAAACATGATCACAATACATACTTAGAAGCTAAGACAAATGTCATAGGAAGCCATTTAAAGCACATATACCTGTTATCCAACCGCCTCGTCCTACACCTGTCCCTATATTGACATGGCTGATATTGGACATGCTCATTATATACAATCAAGATAAGAGAAAAATCAAATGGTCTTTTAAGATGTCAATTGTGCAGAAATGGACCCGCTTTAGTTCGCGACTGCACCGATTGGCGCGATAGCGTTTGTGGTTCACATCCTCGGAGAGGCACTAGCACCACTTGTCTAAGGTGGTAGCGTCGGATGGAGGCTATGAAAACTGTCGTGACATTTTTGTGTTATTAAGAGCTAACCTGTTATGTAGACCAAAGGTGGCACCTCGGTGTATAGATATAAATTTGGACCGGCGGTCAAACTTGATTGTCCTTTGTTTAAATACAGGCTGCGATCCTTCGCAAGATTGTTGCTAATTATACCACTACTTTATTCGGTGGCATACTGATAATGCCGAGGGTAAAATCAAGTAGACACCATACGCACACGACCGCCCTGATGGCAAGTAGAGATAGGAGTGACAGATAGACAACGATGACGCGGTTGATTGAAGAATAAGTGACAGCTTCACTTCTCCTAGGTATCGCATGATAAATTAGGCTTGGTTGTTTGTATCTCACGTGGCCTCATTCGACAAAATGCAGCGAGCCGTCTATGTCAAGCTCGATTGAAAATCTGTCCGCAATAATCGACGTCGAAGATTAGTTGGAAGAATATTTGTACCAGTTTGAATCCCTTACCACTGAAAATTCGCCATTTTCTGCTAATCATCAGCATTTCGCGACCGTTTCACTTTTCACTATGCTCAAAAAGAACGGCTATTGCCACCTATGTCGAAGGAGACCTTTTATGCACACTCTTTTTCTTCTGATGTTCCAG